CGTGGTGAACAGGTCCACATCCGGATAACCCCACAGGCAGAAGAGTCCCTCGCAAAGTTGTTTGTCCAACTCCCATTCGTGGGTTGTCGACATCTGTCTGCTTAATGTATCTGCTTCGACGTTGTCAGTTCCAGCCAGGTGAACCGCCATAAGCGTGATGTTCCTCGGTATGCACCAGTCCCAAATGTCCATCGATAGCCGTGCTAAGGCTGGAGATTTTGTGCTCCCCTGCTTGTTGATGTAGAAAACTGCCGCTACATTGTCTGATGCAATTTGGACAATTTGACGGCATAACACAGTCTCGAAAGCCTTGAGGGCGTTGAAAATCGCCAGAAGTTCCAGGAAGTTGATGTGTTTCCTCGCTGCTCGTCGGTTCCAAGTACCTTGGACCCGAAGTCCCGAACATGCCGCACCCCATCCCAGGAGGGATGCGTCGGTGTACAGAGTTGTCGTTGGCCGAGGTGGTCGAAACGGGGTGCTGATCGACAGGTTGTCTGTGATGGTCCACCACGTTAAAGTGTGAAGGACTGCATGTGGGGTCCGAATCTGATTGGTGGCAGGATCTTGTCGCGGTAGAAAAACAGCGTTGAAGAACAGTTGCATGGGTCGCATACGTAACCTGGCATACGGGACAATGGCAATAGTAGCAGCCATATGCCCCAGTAGTCTCTGAACGGACAAGGCTGGAACTGCTCTTTGTAATCGAATCCGATGAATATGGCTGCATAAAGCATTCTGACGTTCCGTTGGGAGGAAAGCTTTTTCCCGTGTCGAGTTGTGCCCCGATGAAATTGATGACCTGCGTGGGAATAAGGGTCGATTTGTCGCAGTTAATGCAGAGGCCAAGAGCATCGAGCAAAGCACAGGTCATCTGTATATCAGACAAGAGAGCTTGTTCGGATTGCGAGACGATCAGCCAGTCGTCTAAGTATGGGTAAACCTGTACTCCGCGAGTCCACAAGTGTGCACATACCGGTGCCATACACTTTGTAAAGACTCGAGGGCTGTGGCCAAGCCAAAGGGTAGGACGTTAAACTCGAACAGGTCGGATCCGACAGTAAAACGTAGAAAGCGTCTGTGTGAAGGATGTATGGAAATATGAAAGTAAGCATCCTTCAAATCCAGTGAGGCGAACCAATCCTCTTTTCAGTAACGGAAGAATGTGCTGTAAAGTGGTCATCCGGAACTTTCTTGGTTTGATGTACTTGTTAAGAGTTCGTAAGTCCAGGATCGGACGGAGACCACCGTCCCTTTTCGGGACCGTAAAGTATCTGGAATAGAATCCATGCAATCCTTCCGAGCAGGACAATTTCTTAATCGCTCCCTTGAGAAGTAGCTGTGAGACTTCATCGCATAGCACCAATGAAGAAGATGGGAAGCGAATCGGGCTCGAAGGAGGGATAATATCTAATTCTATCCTATATCCGAATGAGATGATAGATAACACCCACCTATCAGATGTAATGGACTCCCAAATGGGGAGTCGGCCCTGGAGCCGGTCCCCAAAAGGGAGAAGGGAAGGTGGTGCTGGAAAAGAGGATGGTTCACGCAAGCCGTCACCGTGGGCGTTTATCGGTATCGAATCACTTACGGCCTTGGGAAAAACGCTGTTGTGCTTGCTGCCTCCGATGCTGCTGTTGTTGGTATTGTTGGGTTCGAGGGTAGTTTTGCTGGCGCGGATAATATGGTTGATTCCGGTAGGACAACCGGGGCCACTGCCACTTACGTTTTTGCGGGAGCTCCATGCGATGTGCGGTTAGGCATGATTCATGAATCGCCTTTAATTTTTGGTCAGTCTTCTGGTGGAACAGACCGGTACCATCAAAAGGCATTACCTCGATTCTGCACTTCATCTCATTGGGGAAATTACAATTGCACAGCCATGCATGTTGGCGTATCAAGATGGCGTTGACAAGGGCCCTTGAATCGGTGTCTACATGGTGACGAGCGGTAGACAACTGTCGTACTGCCACCTGCATCGCCTCCTTAATAAAAACCCTGGCAAGGTCCACTTGGTGGTCCGGAAGGGAGGAAGCGACGTTATCCAGTTTCTGCATGATAAAGTACTGGTAACGTGCCAGTGTCGCTTCGTAGTTTGATATGTGCACGCCGAGTCCAGAGGCCACATAGACTCGGCGCGCAAGCATATCGATTTTCTCCCTTCCTTGTCCCGAGGAGCAGTATGTCCCCTGGACCCCCTGCCCTGGGAGGATTCAACCACAAGAGAGTTCAGTTTTGGGTGACAGAGCAGGAAGGGAATGTCATCATCCCGAACTCTATACATAGCCTCATATCTGCAGATCGCTTGTGGTTGGGCCAGTTGGTCCCAGGGTTGGACCATAGCCTGGCGCAGTGTAGCTATAAGCGGCAGAGCTATGGATGCGGACTGCTCTCCCCGAACGACATCATAGAAGCGATCTGTCGAAGGGCCTGGCTGTTGATGGGCTTCGATTTCAAGCGAACGAACCAAGCGGGACATGAGCTCTGTGAACGAGACATGAGGTTCGTCGGGTGAAGCAGGCCCTTGATATGCAACAGCCACATCAGGGGATGTGGAGTCGACCTCCGAGTCCTCGGAGTCTTCCACGTAGTGCGGCCAATCATTGTTTGAGGAGGAGGAGGTTTCAGGGGAGGCTGGGCGCCTCGTCTCCGTACGCCTGGAGGTGGATGGCACATCCTCAGGACTGATGGTGATCTCTGCTCACGAGGGAAATAGGGATATGGCTGGTACCCACCCCAGCCGGGGGGAGCACCATATCCCGGAATCAACCAACTTTCATCTCGACGCTCGGATGAATGGCTGCGACTTCTAGGAGGTAATGGTGAGGCCACATGAGATTCAGTCGGTGGCATGGGTGTTGGTGAGCGTTCCCTCAGCAGGGAGTCTGATTTCGCCATCACAGATGGACTCCCGAAGTGGCTCCTCCTGTTGCTGGGAAGGCACACTCTCAGGCCGAATGGTTGGCCTGGGGGATCCCAGTGGTGTCACCTGCACAACGAGTTGCAGGGCCGGTCCCGAGGGGGTCGGTACCGTGGCGGCCGTCGGTACCGAGAAGCCCGATGAACCTGAGCCTCATTGTTTTGGGTGGTCAGGTTTCTTGCTCTTGCGGGCGGGCTTATCCACCTTTTCCTTCCTCAACTTCTTATGGGTGGAAGTTTTATCCAGACTGGTATGCTTGCGCTTTTCCCGTTTCTTAGTCGGGGGAGAAGGCAGTGACTGAGCCCCCATAGAAGCGGCGCCCTCGTCCGAAGGACGCTGAGGTGGGTCAGCAGAGGTCAAGGAAGGACGCTTCGCCGGAGCGCTCACGGTGGAGGAGGAGCGCTGAGGAGGCGTGGACGAAGAGGAAGCAGGCCATAGGAGCAGACTGCATTAATGCCTGATCCCATAGGAGCTTTCTGAGACAATTCTCCCTATTTTTCCGCACCTGCTTGGTAAACGCCAACCAATGACTGCACTTGTCGGTCCTATGCTCCTCGCCGAGGCAGAGGAGGCATAGCTCATGTGGATTGGCCGGCGACATTTTAGATCCACATTCAATACATTTGCAGAATGCTGCCCGCTGCGTCATCGCGGAAAAATGAAGAAAAGAGGACAGTATAGAGGGTAAGATAATATTTTTGTTTGTTTTTTTTATATAGAGAGAAAGAATTCAAAAAGAAAACGGACAGAATCGGGGAGAAGAACAAACTTGGAGTAAGAGCAGTTTAAACTTTTTGAGAAAAAACAACGAAGAGGCACAGATCTATAGCAAGAGACGAACAGGCACGAGGCACAGCGAACGGCGGTCGCAAAGACTGAGCAAAATGGCAGACACTCCGCTCTATTTATACCACAAAGGGGGAGGGGAGGGGAGTTTTCCCACCAAAAACGGTTAGCTTTCTAATCTTCCAGCCTAGGCACTGCGCAGGCGCAGCAACCCATATGTGTGATGCACAGAGGCCACTACGAAGAACATAATTTTACTCCCACATGCAACATAGACTCAAAGCTACTATCTTATATACCCTATGAGGAAAATATCCTTAAAAATTTCAGTAAATTGAACCAGATTTTTTTCCAGTTTTTCTCAACTGCCAGCAAGTCATTTTTCTTTGGGAACTAACTCTCCAAATGCAACCCCAAATTCAAAAAGCTGCAAGGATGAAGGTGCAACAAACTACACTAATACAGAAGGGCAGATGGGAAGAATCTACAAGTGCTAACTCAATGTGTTTGCCCAGGAATTACAGCAGTGGGCATATCCAAAGAAAGTTAAGCATGTTTGAAATCCATTAAGATGGGGTTTTAGAGCTTAACTATGATTTTTTACAGAAATTACAAAAAATATGAGGGTGGGGGATGTGTGCCCTCCAGATGGTGGCTTAATATTTCCTGCACCCCTCACCAGTGGCTATAGTACTTAGGGCTCATGAAATTTGCAGTTCAACAATAATCTGGAGGACCATACACTTTCTTTAGCATTAATATAAGAAACGATATGCTGGATTTTCTATTAGCTCCCTTCATTAGGGATCCACTTAATGTTTCATTATGGCTATGCAGTAATGAAAACTGCAATAAAATACTGGAAAATTCCTTTCTGTTCATGCTTCTTTGTATCATCATGCATATGCTGAAATCTCAGATTTAATTTTCTCTTGAGTTGTGCTGTGTATATTTGATCAAGAATTGGGCCTTTAGATACCAAGGCCAGGTCTCTTCAGACATGAGAGATTAGGCACATCTTAACTGCTGAAACTCTTGTGAGACCCACTGATCAAGACTCCCATGTTGGGCTTTTTTACACAAAGACCTTTTCCAAATAACTGTACTGTGACAAGGAAGGCTGCATGATAAAATACTCAACTTCCAAGACCATTATTAATATCTGAACTAGAAAATTCATTATGATAGCCTTCATAATGAAGCTGTAGTAAATGTTCTTAAAGCAGCACTTCATTTAACACTACTGTAGATGCTAAATCACTGCACCATTCCTTTGATATGTATCTGTGTATTTATGATGACTGCTTCCAATTATCAGTGAAGGATAAATGTGGGATAGAGTTTAATCTCGGCTAGTAAACCTCTTTATTTCACAGGCCATTTAAAAAGTACTATGTTTTATATAGTAACCACTATAACCACTATAAAATAAATAAAGACTTTGCTGCAAATAACCCGCTCGGTATTTGATTTAATTTGAATTAGAAGCTTCTACTCTTAGATCATGTTCTACTTTTGTGTAGCAAAACAATTATCTCATGGGCAGAAACTCTTGAGAGATAAATAAGCTCTTACTAGAGTATGAAACCAAATCAGCAAATGTTATCCTGGTTTACTGTTGCTTTATCTAGAAGCAAATCCAGAAAAGCATATGAGATTTTTGTATTTGCAAAGGCTGGAATACTGGAGTCTCCTCTTCCTCTATGAGGCAATGCAGGCATGAAGAACAGTCATGTATAGCAAAAACAGAGGCTGTCAATAACTAGATGGCAATGGACCACTTATTAGCACATGCCTGGAGTTCCTTAGAATGGTGTCTGTGGCTGTTGCTTTATGCCACTCCATCTCCTTCTCTTTCAGCTATGAGTTGATGATGTTTCTTCAGCTTTGTAACCAAGTATCGTGTAATACCCAGAGCCCCTCCTTTTAAAAAGCGTACAAAATTGTCTCCAACCAGTGGACCTACTGCAAAAAGATTGGGTTCCTTTATGCACTCATATGTGTAAGGATCGATTTCAATAGGGTTCCCCTTGCAGGTAATTGGTTCATTTGGACGATGGCCTATACCCTGGCCTTGGTCCTTTAGGAAGCATAGGTTAGGATGAGAACCTATTAGTACTAAGGCTACAGAAAACTTTAAGATCCTCTTCAATCCAGAAGTGTTCTGAAGGACACACTTCTTATCTGGCTGAAATGAAACTACCCGATGTTCAGGAAAACTGGTATAAGCAGGATGCAAATTGTAGTCTGTCGTAACTGATTGAGTACACATCATATGGTAGACCTTATGGTATTCTGGGTAAAGCTTTTTAGGCAACTGTTTGAAAATTAAACTTGGATCGGTAACCCTTCTCCGGAATGCATGAATTACAGGGATGTTATTGTTATAAGCGCACAGAACTGCATCAGCTGCTGTGAGTCCACCGCCTATGATTAAGACAGGATCAGCTTTCCCGCGTAATATTCCTTTGTCTATGGTTGCTCCAAAATCAGATATGGAATGGAGCACAAAAGGAAAGTCTTCTCCTTCAACTTGGAGTCGGCCAGGAGCATCGAAAGTTCCAGTGGCAAGAGCAACATTCTCAGCGAACAAACAGAATGGCACATGGGACCCATCTGCTGCCCTCTGGTAACCTCTGATTTCCCAGTTTCTCTTTATCAGTGTAGTCTGCCCACCTTGCTCCTCCAGTTGCAAATGTGGCAAAACATCTGCATTCTCTTGGACTTCATCTTCATGGTCCTTTTCTCGATAGAGTCTTGATACAGATGTTATATAAGTGTTTTCTCTGAAGTTCTTCTGTAAGCCCATGACTTTAACAAAGTGCTTATAGTAGCTAGCAATTTCTTCTGGTAGAACGCGGTCACACTTTATATTTCTGAAACAAGATCAGATCTCTAGTTATTGTTTAAATGTCACATTTACAACAAATATGTCCCTCAGCTCAAATGTGTCTTCATTGGACTTTTATGCCAGATTCAAAGGGGACTTTTAGCCTTTGTCATCAAAAGTGTCCACTATTAATTTATTTTTAATTGATACAATATTATTTAAGCATTAATATACTATTGTGGCTGCAAAGTACCATGAATGTCACTTAGTATTTTAAAAATACAGAAGTCATCATGAAGATAATTAAAATACTAAAACACAAGGGCAATTCCAAATACTTCATGCAAATGTAACAATGCTAGCAGAAATCTGAGCTTTTAAAGTTTAAAGTTACAGGTAAATTTTCTGTAAGCTAATTTGTGAACAACAGTAATTAATGTGCAAAATATAGTAGAAGCAATTATACTTTATCTGTGCAATGGCATATAGTGGTGCAATGTGATACTTTATGTAACTTCAATTTTTAGAGGAGGAGGTTTAAAGGTATGCTTACAATAGTTTATGACATCTTGATGCCCCACAGGTATTGCAAAATTAAGAATAAATATGCAAGCAGCCAGCAGATAACCCTGAATGTAGCCAACTTCACATGAAGAATGTAGGAGTTAATACACAAGATTAGAGCTGATAATCTTTAAAAGGGGTAAAGAAACAAGCATGTCATTTTACTCAGCAATTTTCCTTTTAAAAGCATGCATTTAATCACCAAAGAAAAAGATACCCAAAAAGTATAAAGCTGCTTGATTCAAGTTTTGTCAAAAGCACTTATGTTTGCTCAGGTTAAACTTGATCACTGATCTCTGCAAGTGAGAGGACCGGTTGAGCTTTTCAAATGTGAATGTGTCCTCTTCCTTCCATCAGCACTTTGCCTCCTACCAGCCTTGAAAGAAGGATGTTTTGTTGTCTTATTTATGAATTAAAGAAAATGATTTATGGAATAAACCAAAGCTTAAGTGTCACTAGGATAGCACATTGTTCAGATAAGGTTAAGATCATTAAATTGCCTATAAAACAGCCTATTGTGCTTCTAAGAAATAAATTTCGTAAAACATAGAAACACTTCCTTCTACCAAGAACAGCAATTTCCCCCATACCAATCACTGTAAAAATATTACTGTCTTCACCTTCTCTTAGTGGCAGCCCAGTCTTTAAATGTGTATCCAGGTAATTCCATCCAGTCTCCAAAGCTGATGGTCAGCATAGAACCCTCCATAGACTGTATAGATAAAATAGTGCCAGGACAATATTTTCAAAATACTGCTTAATGACATGTCATTCCATTTATACAGTAACAAAATTAAATTATGCTGATTCATTTCAGAACAATTACAAAAACAAGCATTATCTACAGGCCATTATCTGTCTAGTGGAAAGCTTTGGTATGATTGCATCTATAACATCTGGATACAGCTTGCCATGTGGACATTAAAGATAGCATGGAGATTCTACGTTTTAGATTTGTTACTGATAGGGGAATTCTTCAAGTTAGCCCAAGAATTTACATGGAAAGATACACTGAATGCTATATGTACACGGTGGGGTGGGGTGGGGAAACACTACAAGAAAACTTCCTGCCAGAGGCTGATCATGGCCTGTAGCTCATCTTTAAGCCTTTAACCCTTGCATTCCTAGTTGTGCACCCCACATTTTGCAATCTCTTCAGTCCTTGCACAAAATTTTATACCCAAGAATTCGCTCAGCTGATTGTGCAAGAAGTTTGTTACTTATGGCAAGGGGTTTTCAGGCTTCGGCGGAAGGTTGTGATAAATGCTATGTGCTATATTATTGTATCATTTTTGGCCCAAATAAGCAAATGCTTGACAACTTCATTAACAGGATGTCCCTGAGAATTTTTGGTTTTTTACGAAAAATGCACTCCCGTGGAAAAAATAACATAGGTAATGCATATCTATTTCTTTTAAAAAAGCAAGCGCACACAGTTTCTGAAAAAGGGCAAAAAGGTGCATTTAAAAAAAACAACTTTGCAATATGTTTCATATTACGCTTTTGCTGCTTTAAAAAAAACCTGTTGGTATGTTCAGTGACTATACCACATATTATGCACTCCACATGGGAACAGCCACAAAATATGTACCTCTTTAAATGGGTATATGTCACAACAGTGTGGTATTTACCCACAGCTGATGTGTAACCTAAAGCTCTGTGATCAAATTTGATTACAAGAAGCAGAAATGGAATTTTCCTCACATGCCAAGCTCCACCAGGTGGTCCTTTGCCCAGCACTATGTGCGGGATATAGTGATGAGTTTCTAGTTTCCAGTGAAGAACTGGTGGATAATTAAATCCAAAGTCAGCATCAGGATGAAGCAGCGTGTCAAAAAGAACTGCAACAGGATTCAAAGAGCGTCCTTCCAGGCCTTCAGCCAAGTATTCTAGGTCCTGAATTAAAAAGACAGATTTAAATGGACATGCAACTTCCCTCAGAATACGAAATGATGACTTGTAAAAAAGCTTTCACTTCCCTTGCCCAGCAGTCTTTCTGCCCATTTATGTATCTTTTCACAAATTCCTGTACGTTATCAAGATTACTGATTAGTGTCTTGCTTCATTGTCTTTGTGCTGCATGAACAACTAAGGCCAGGCTAGGCAACTTAGGGGACTCCAGGGGCTACTTTTTGTCTTCCCAAACCCCTATGTGCGCAGCATTCTCACTGCTTTTGCTGGTGCATTGTCTTCAAAAAACAAACAAACCAAAACCAAACAAACACTGTACTGCAGCCAAATTTCAGCATCAAATCACTACAGATACTTTAAAGGAACAAGCTTGGGTTGTTTTAAAGCTAAAGCTGCCTCTCTTAAGTGGTTTCCCACTAAAATTCAGCAGCAAACTGCCTATTATTTTGTTGCCATGCTGGCAAATTTCAACAGTGCAGAACTAAGAACTGTTTCAGAGGATGAAAGGCATGTGGCCTACAGCTGGTCTAAGGACACAGGATTAACCAGCTTGCTTCTCAGCTTGGAATATCTGTTAAAATGTCCCAGCCTTGTACCAGCTGTTGACTGGTTTTTACTTCCCAAGTTTCCTGATTGCAATGGGCACAGACCAATTTCCATTTTACTTCTTCCCAGTGATCTCCACCTCAGACTCTTAGGAATTATTTTAATGCAATCAAGATGTTAACTATATTCTCAATGATGGATGGATAGCATGTTGCGTATATGTGATGAGCAGTCTCTCTTCAGCAGCTTTAGGAAGCTCTGATATGGCAATGGAGCCCTGAGAGACAAATATCAGAGGCAGCTACTAAGTTCTGTGTTGGTGGGCTGGTGCTAAGGATAGATTGCAGAACTAGAAGTATCTCTGTGCAGTCCTTACATTTTTAGCACATGTTTGTTACAAAAAATAACTGCTGCCTTGCATCTTGAAGTCTTACTTTACACTTACTGAAAAAAGTGAAGAAAGTGTAATAGTACATTTCTACTGTGGTTTTTGCCAGAATGACGCAGGCATTTTTTTTTTAGGCCAGGTATATAATGAACTGAATAATTAGACAATTTCATAAATAAAGAGATCAAATGTTTGCTTGTTTTTGACTGATGATCATATAAAATAACTGAAAACAAGGTTAATAGGACTCAAAGATTCATAGCATAGTAGAGTTGGAAGGGGCCTATATGGATAACAAGTCCAATTCCTGCTCAATACAGGACTCACCTGATCAACAAGAGAAAGATGACTAGCTTCTTTTAATTTATTATGCAAAACTGGATTTGGATGTTCAGCTTCAGGAGACAAATATGGCCTGTATCCAGACAGCATGTAAGAGAGGCATATTCCTGATGGTCCATTTCCTGTTTTGTTTAAAAAAATGCCACAAAAGATTTACTAAACCTTAAAATTGCATTTTATAATTAAGTCCAAATAATAGCCATGATCAAGTAAAAAATAAGCACTTTTAAGCCCCATGAATTTCACTATGAGAATTAAGTCAATATTTATGTCCTTCCCTTTGAAATCAATGGGACTTAATAATTCTTAAAATCAAATATAATCTTTCCATCCTTTCCTTTACTCCAGCAGGAATCAATCCGGGTTCCTTCCATAAATGGAAAGAGCTCTGCTGTTCAAAGAATGACAATCTGGATCCAACACAATGATGTTACTCTTTTCCAAATTAGGTTAGCTATTTCAAATGGAAGGTATTGGAACAGCTGTTCCTTCATTGGCTAATGGATGTGGCCAGGTAGCACAGAAAGAATGGATAGATCCCAAGGGGTTAGAGATGGCAGGAAAAGGGTACAATTTAGTGATTCCTAATCAATTAGACAACACATTTCCTCAGCTAATGAAACTATTACAGTTTAAATATCTTTTCCGGCAGTACAATCCAATGTGGCTGCCCACAACCCTCCAAACTTGGAAGATTACAGTGATCTTACTGAGAACAAAAGGACTGTGGAGGCAAGGTTGTCTCCAGGCCTCTCTTGCCCTGCAAAATACTTGAATGGCAAATGCTGGTTGTCTTAAGTCTTTGCATCTGCTTGCCTTCCCTATCCCTGGAACACCTTCCTGTCACCAACATCAGATCTGAGGTTAGGCTAGCAACCTTGGAGCAGCAGCTGTTGTGAAAGAACTACTCCAGCTGCACAGGTGGAGCAAAGCTACTCTAGTCCCAGTTCCAACCATGGAGTGCATCTCCAAGGTTCGAGATGGAACTCCAAATTTTCGTGTTGCTGACCAGACAGCATCTAAAGGCCATAGTATTATGCCCTAACAGTATTTAATCATAGTGTACAGTTTAATAGCTAAAGATTATGGGTTAACAAATGCATCACATTCAAACAGTCTAACAAAGCGCAATGTTTTCATGTGACTACTACATTTGAAACAGATTTACTATTTCAGATTCTTAATATGAATACTGAATTTCTCTAAGAAGAACTCACCTATTACTACCACTGGCAAAGTCAGCGGTGGGTCCACAGGTAGAATGCTTTCCTCTAGTAAAGGCATTGTTTTAACATTTGTCCCAAGGCTGTCCCCAAAATACTGCACTAAGGAATTCAAAAAGTGTCCTTCTGTTTCAGGGCTACAAGAGTTTCTATTTAAAGGGAAAATAATCAGTTCATCATTATAATGCATTCTTAATAAAAATTACATAATGTCAAGTTGTTGTCTTGAAAATATATAACCACAGAAAATCTGTCAACCTTAAGCAAAAATATGCTCTAATTAGTTAACGCACAGCTGCAACTATACCATAGCTTTTCCTAGTGCATACCGCTATTTTGGAAACTTATGAGAAAAAAATAGTTTATTTTTTCCATGCAAGTTTTTCTTGACACAAATTTCTTCTGCTATAAATTGCCTGATGTAATTTTTTAAAATAACAAATACCAGGTCATACATTAAAGCTTAATGAGTCTAGTCTGCAGGACCTAGAGGGGCAAATTAAAGAAATAGTATATGTATTTCTTTAATAAACATTATTATAATAATTTTTCTTCTATGAAATGAAAGACCCCTTCCATTTGCTGAATTTCTTTGATCCTGCATGGGAGGCTGAAGGATGAAGGGGGGAATCACAAGCTGTCTTCTAACTATGGAAGCTTCAAATATGTGTACACAAATGGAAGGGTGTCCTTCCATTCATGGAACAAATGGGGTCCCACTCGAACTGTCTGGATCTAAGACAAAAGAGTTATGAAGCAGAAAGTATGGGTTTATTTCAAAATATTCCAGGGATTAATCTCTTCAAAGCATATGCCAGTGCATTATCTGAATGCAATGGAAATACCTTCTCAGAAATGTGCATTTAGATATACTTTTTTACTTCCCTCCTCCTATACCCAGGAATAAGCAACTTCTGGGCCAAATCCATCTCTATACTAATGTTTAAGCAGTCATCTCTGGTTCTGCACAGCTTTAGAATCAGCATATCCTCAAGCACTGTCCATTGTCCTCTCCTGGAGAATAATTCAAGCAAGCTGGTCACAAATGCAGTTGCTTGCTTCTCTACCACCCAAAAACACACAGGTGTTGGTCAAGCATAAAACACATTTAACAGGATTCATTATTATCTTGCCAAGCACAGAATTACCAGCCAATAGACTAGTGTTAAAAAAACATAACAAGGAGCCTTCTGGCTAATGGTGTGAGATAAAAATTCAGTAAATAACACTATAAAAAGTATAATATGAAAGTAACATTTTGACTGTGTGCCTCATGCACTTAACCTGTTGGTATTAGCCATTGATCTGTACGACTGACTCACATATCTGCTGTAATGTTATGTTTGGAACTCCACTATAATGTAAGAGTTAAATAATGGAATATTATTTAGATTCATTAAGTTGTACATATTTTCATGTCAGGTATATCAGGCAGACACCAAAATACTGTATCCCAGATGCAACTATACATATGCACAAAGTCAGAGGCGGAAATGTTTGTAATTGCATAGGCTTGATAAATCAGATGGGGATTGTTAATCACTTAAAAGTACCAATGCAACTACCAAGATCTGTTAGAACAGCAAGAAAAATCATTTTTACTCCAAAGACCAGATATCCTGTACCTCAAGCATTTCTGACAAATGCATGAGTAATATTTTTCTGAAGACTTCCTCTCTTATCATTTCAGCCCATTATAACAAATAACACAATTATGTTATCATTAGCCCCATCAAAATCTGTAAATTGAAGCTCCAGCAGAGGAATGGATAGAATTATTCTCCCCACGCACACACATGCACACATACTATGTATATTCACACACCGCTCTAACATTTTAAAAAAATCTAAGTATCTAGTCCATATATACGATGCTAGTCCACATATATAGTTCATAAGGCAACAACTTTGAAACTTAGCAGATCTGAGTGGTTTGAATGCCTGGACATCAATAGACCCTGTAATTAAAATTCATCCTAGAAGACTTTTCTGATGTGAAGTGGGCTCTATGAAAGCATAAACCATAGTATTTTAAGGTGGTGCAAACCTCTTTGTTGTTTCTGATTCTAGAAAAAAGGCTAGAAATATTATTCATAAAACATGAGACCCACCCACGCACATACATAAATTAAATGTATGTATCATTGTGGAGTATATGTGCATGCATATTGTGTGTTTATATATACAGGTGCACACACATGTACATATGAAGAGAAATTCAAATACGTTTATCATAAATCTTACAAATGTTAATAAGGCCATTAGGGGATCCATCGCAGCCATCATTAGCAGAAACGCAATGTTTCTGAAGGTGGCTATGGTATGTGCAGGGACAGGGTGTGGAGCGGGTCTGTCTACCCTGCATCCCGCTTGCACTCTCTCCCCTCGGTTTTCTCTTACGCCACAATACTCGCCACCCAGGTCTCTGCTCCCGCACGCGCGCCCTCGGGGATCGTCTGAACGCCTCCCGTCCTTCTCCCGCCGCGTCGTTCAGCCCCGCCGCGCTCTTCTTCTTTCGCTCCTCCATTGCCTCTAGCGCCGGCCGGCGGCCACACACGATGCCGGCCTCGGAGCTGCGGCTTCTCGCATCGCATCAGCTGGAGACTCTCGCGGCCGGAGGCGCGGGAAGCGGCAAGGAAGGAGCCGGAAGGGAAAGGGGATGGAGGCGGCTGCAGCTCCCTTTCCCCCGCGGGTCCGAGACGCTCCGCTGCTTTTGACCCACAAACCTACTTTCCCTCGGTCGGCCTCGCACAAGAGGAGCCGAAGCGACGCTGCCGATGGCTTACCTGAAGTGACTGGCAAGGGAGCAGTGGCAGCACCAAACCGTCATGAGGGACTACGCGGGAGGCTGCAGCAGGTCACCAGGCGGCATCCAGAGATGGAGAAGTCGCCGCCGCCGCCGCCGCCGCCTCCTCCTCTTTCTGCTGCTGCCGCCGCCGCCGCCGCACTGGGGGCCGCTGTTGGCCGGTTCTTTCTGCTCCCTCCCGCCTTCTTGCTTCACACGAGGCACTAGGCCAGTGGCACGGAAGGGAGGAGCCTCTGCTTGACACCGGAGGGAGGAGACAGCCTCCCGCTTGGCGGGCGGGCGCTGGGGCCGCGCAGCCGTCTCCTTGGCCGGTGCGCTCTGCTGGGGGACCGGGAGGGACAGTGGTGCGTGCTTGCACGGGCACACGCCGAGACGCACCATTTTAACTATAATGAAGTAATAAATTGCGGTCTGAGCAGGAAACGCTCGGCTAGGAAGTCCCGAGCCGTTCAATGAAAGCATCCATAGGACACGAAGACACGCATACTTCTTCCAGTGTCGAGCTGGATGGATTTTCGCACCGTCAGCACGCAACACTCAGACGAACGCTTCCCTTTTCCCACGTTTGTAATTCAGGCTGGATGGTACAGCCGACACTAACTAAATTTAAACATGCTTCTTTCCCTTCTTCCTCCTCCCTGGACCTTACGAGAAAAGATGTGTAGGTGCGTGGACAAATAAAGCAAAAGCAGCAGGGCATTCTAAGTTAAGTCATTAGGAGCAGACGCAGTGGATGAAAATCAGCCTTATCCAATTGTGGTCTGCAGGTGTATTATGACCATGATGGTGCTCCTGCACTTCCCTCTTAAGTCCTGCCGAGAGTGCTTTGCCAGATAACCCCTGCCTCATTATTCACTGTTAAGTGTTAAATAAAAGGAACATTTAATTCTGCAGCAAGTGTATTCAGAAATCAACATAATTTGTTATAGATCTACCATTTGTTGCATCTCTCATGCATAACAGAAAGTGTTCCAGTTGCGTTATAGGACTATTTGAGAGAAGTGATAAGCAGGGTGGCCACGAGGATTTCAATATCTTTATGCATTATTTGGATGAAAGGGACAGTTAACACCAAACTGGGAAGGGGAGCCTATAAGCAGTATTCAAGATTATCTTGAAGACAACAGATTGCATTTCCATTATGATTACTAGATGCCAGGAGTGGCCAAACCGGGTCTCAGGAGCTGTATGTGGCTCTGAGTTTATTTTGTGGCTCATTGCTCATTGCTACAGGTGCCCATGGGCACCCACTTGCCACTCCTGCCACCTGCAGGTGCCTCCTTCCTGTCCATGGTCACCCACTTGCAGCTCTCTAGCACCTGACATTTACCACATGTGGCTCTTCAGTTGAGCAAGTCTGACCACTCTTGCTATACACTATGATCATCATCTGAAACCCTCTGTGGAACGCCTCCTCTGAGGGAGGTTTGGGAGATGGCAACAAGGGATAGGGCCTTTTTAGTGGTGGCTCTTGATTTCCAATAAGGCCTGTCTGGGGCCAACATTGTCATCTTTTCAGCACCAGGTCAAAACTTCCCTGTTTCCAGGCATTTGATAGCATAAGCTGGAATTTTTAATGTATCTGTTGAATTGTTTGGTTTTCAGTGATATTTTAGTTGTTTATAGGGTTGAGATATTTTAGTAGAAATAATTTTGGGGCTTAATCCAAACTCTCTGAACTTGGAAGATTATGGGCATCCCATGCAGGGTTGTAGGACCAGGGAAGCAAGTATCATATCTGCAATTCTTCCAACCTGCAGCTATCTCAGTGTCGTTCTTTGGGATGGGAAGGAAGCAGGCTGAGGTGCCATCAGGATGCCTCTTATTTCAGTAGTGCCAGTCTCTTCCTCTTCTGTCTCCTGGAATACCCCCAAACCCCTATTCTGAGATCAATTTTACACCTTTGGAGAAGAATCTGGTACTGCTCTTTCTGCAAGGGGAGGGGTCTGTATGCAGAAGCCCTGCCACGAGGTCCAAGTAATTTTCTGCCATCAGAACTGGGTCAAAACTGACAAGATACATTAAAAACAAATGTAAGTGTATAGGTAGGGGAAAAATCAGATGCATAAATACAGGATGGGTTTAGAGCAATACAACCAGAAAGCATTTGAGGAGGTTAGTAGACCTCAAACTACATAAAAATTGTTGCAATTTTTGTTGTTAATGGCACAATTAAATCAAATCTGAAAGGAAATCTATTGACTGATATTCACAGAAGTGAAAGTCTGATGTTGCACAACACATACAATTGGAACATGGAATGTGAGAAGTATGACTCAAAGTGGAAACTGTAAAGCAAGAAATGGAATGGTTAAACTACTTGGTGTAAATGGACAAAGTGGATGGGAATGGGAAATTGTCTAAATGAAAATAAAGAGTTTTACTAAAGGATAGGCTCATGGTGGGCATGTCATGAGCAGAGCCGGAGGTCAGACTAAATGGCCCAGGAGCCTCCTTCTGACTCACTCTGTTTCTATGTTTACTCAGAAATAACAAACAGAAGAAATACATTGGCTCCAATAATGAAGCAAAATGTAGCACAGGCTGTAAAAAACTAGAAGTTTGATTGAACTATATCATTCGGGATTCATGGGAAAATCTATCAATATAACCATCATTCAAGTCTATGCTCCAACGCAAGATAGGACAGAAGAAAAAACTAGAAAATTTTATGAAGATGTTCAAGAGGAAATTGATACTAAACCAAAACAAATGGTTTTGTTTGATCATTATAGATGACTGAAACATTCATGTAGGAAACAAAGCAGAATCAAATTTTGTGGAAGAATTTGACTTATGGATCAGAAATGAAGTAGGTAAATGACTCAGAATTCTGTGAAGACAACAGTCTGCTAATTGCAAATATATACTTCAGGTAACCATCAAATAACTACACAAATGGTCAGCAGTGAAATCAGTTAGACTAAGTAATTGGAAGTGAAAGATAGAGAATTTGTATTTTCATTGACACAACAAGGCAAGGTACATAGTGATAGCAACCACAAATTATTAATATCAAAAATCAGTGTCATTCTGAAGAAGATCACTAACAGAAGCTTAGTACCAAAATACAGTTTAAATAACATTCTTGAGGAATTAGTCCACAAAAAGAGCATTGCTGAACTCAGTTGGATGAACCAGAATAACTATGGACTGAAACCAGAAACATTATTAGGAAAGAGCTGAAAAAGACAATTCCTGTAGCAAAGAGAAAGAAAACCTAGACAGATGACAGAAGAAATATTCACAATTGCTAAGGAAAGAAGCAAATTCAGAAACAAGGACAGAATTCTGAATGCAACTTTTCAGTGACTATCACATAGAGACAAAAAGAATAATTATGATGGCCAATGCAAAGAAATAGAAGAGAAGAACAAAAGAAAAAAGAGAGAGGTTTTTTCTAGAAGAACCAAGAAATCAAAGGAAAGTTCAGATATGAGGATTGCTAAAATACCAACAGAAGAAGATACTATCTGACCAAGATTAAAGGAAAGTGAAACAATCTATGGAAGAACTATGCATAAGAGATAAAAGGATATCAGCCTCTTCTGAAAATGATTTTTAAGGAAAAGACTCTGCAATTTTAGAAAATGAAGTGAAAGCTGTTCTGAAAGCACTTGGAAGGAATAAAGCATCCACAGCAAATAGCAGAATACTAACAGAACTATTCCAAGCTGCAAAAACTGAATTATTCCAAATTTTAACAAGAATATATGGAATAAATATGGAAAACAAAACAATGGTCCTCAGACTAGAATAATTTAATATACAGTCCAATCCTCAAGAAAAGAGATACTAATGAGTGCAGGATCCTTAGAGATGCTAAGGAGTGTAAAACTTTAGGATCATTGCACTAATTTTTCATGAAAGCAAAGTGATGTTCAAGGTATTGCAAGGTGATGCTCCAGGTGTTTCTCCCTGTAGAGAGAGAATTGCCTGATATTCAACTGGATTACAAAAAAGAAAGAAAGAGGCACTGAAGATCATATTGAAAATATGCACTGGCTATTGGAACACACTAAAGAAGAGTGGAATTAAAAGAAATGCTTTTACAAAGTTATGGAATGCAAATATGTCATGGCAATATAAATGTTTTCCTGGCAAAGAATAATTCCATTATTCTACTATCTGTCATAGTACAGTTTATCCTTTTTTCTGAAAAAGAAACCCTCTCTGTGTTTGATTCCCTGGCACATGTGCTAGAGGATTATTACTTTCAATGTCTAATTGTTCCTTTCCTAATGCTGTAAACAGAGCAGCAGCGTTTTAGTTTGCCATGCAAGTTCCTGTGCGATATGCTGTGTTCAGTGAATTCCTCTGCATTTGTTCATCTTTATATCAGACTGAATGTAAGAGACAAAGGAATAGGACTTAAAGTATTAAGATTTGGGTAAAACATTCAAAAGTACCTTTAGGTACTGAGCCCCAATTAGCTAACCATTAAATTTCCAGCCCACTGTTTAAACATCACAGCCATCACAGTTTAAACATACTCTTAGGCTGCAATGCCCTGCCTGCTTTCCTGGAAGTAAGTCCTATTGCACTCACTAGGATTTGCTTCTGAGTAGATGTCTATCGGACTGTGCAGTTCAACTCTGCCATACATTGTATTGGGAATAGTCATTTATCTGTACAAATCTGAGTAGTTAGTTTGAGGCCTTAGCTAATTTGCTCTATATCCCCTTTGTTTCATGAGAATTAAAACTCATGCTAGAATACTGAGTATTTTATGAAAATTAGATTTATAGTCCAGCCTTACTGCCTGCTCTTCAGTTACAGAAGAGAATAAAGTCTTTTTCAAATATGTTTTAGAACAAAACATAGGGTTCAGAAATTGGCACACTCCTTTTGAGAGTGTCAGCCAGCCATGTCCTTCCCCAGGGTACTTTATTGCCATTTTCCTCCCCCTGGTTTGTCATCCTGCCTCCCTTCCACAACAGACATTAAGCATTCAGATATCACAAAGTGCTTTCAATCCTCACATGGCTGTATTTTTAAGCATTTTGGTAGTTCTTAAAACTAGGGGATTCTCCTGAACTTACTGATACCTCCCTCTTGTGTGGATGGTACTGTTTTGGGTACAAAAATATTGGCTCCACAACCTTGAGATGTTGGACAGAGAGAGCATATTAGTCCTGCACTGAGTAACTTTGGCTAACTCATTGCTTGATAAAATGGTTAGGTCCCACATTTTAAATAATAAACCCCACCCACTCACACCCAAACCAGTTGCATAAATTGGCCTTTAGTTACTTTAAAACAAGCATGCCTGGTTAAAAATAGAAATGAACACTGTCTGCTATTCCATAAACAAATCCCTTCTACTACAAATGAGACATTTTTCTAGCTCCAACAATAGATGCCTTTATTTACCTTTCAATAACAGTAGAAAGGTCAAAACAACTGCTTTCTCAGCACAGACACTCTTTTTAAATGGTAAGCATTTTTATTCATTTTAAGTTGATAATTTTCAATTGTGTTAATGTGATGTACATTACTCAAAAATTGCATATTAGGATCTAAGCATTGGACAGGAACTTAGACAACTATGTTTGCAGTCCTGAATACACTTAATCCATTGATCACAGCAAAACCTGACTGAGTAAATATGTGCAGGATTGTGCCATATGAATAAAAGAATAATCCTAAATTGTTTCAATTTAAAAATCTTAAGTGGCTTTTAAAAATCTTAAAAAATTTAAGCTGAGGTTGCATATTTTACATAAATTTTCCCATTGTTAATATGTAGTATAACACTTAATTGCATTCAAGTAACTGTATTCACTTCATTGGTTAATGGTCTGTTTCCAAGCAGCATTCAGTGCTGATTATGACTTAGAAAGCTCTATATGGCATGCAACAAGGGTACCTGAAGAACCATCCTCCATACAAGCCTGTCTAGTTCTTAAGAATTTCTGGGAGGCCTTTGCTGAGACTTGCTGTCTTCAGAGGCATAGAGAGGACCTTTTCAGTGGTCAAACCCAGGCTGTGGGACCTCCTGCCAACAGATGAATTCCCTCTCTGTTGTCTTACTGTTGGCAGCCACAGACTTGCTTCAAGAAGGTTTTTGGCCATTAAACAGATCTGTTGGGTTGGGTACTTTTTAAACCTCCCCCCATTATTGTTATGCTTTTGTTCTATTTAACAGATTATGTTAATCCATTTAATTATGCCTGTAAGGTTCCTTGCATGCTATTTTCAATGGAAAAATGGGGTAAAAACAAATAAAGATATATTTTAAAAGGTTTAAATGTTGCAGATGAACTGATGTTCCTTTGTGCAGACAGACAACTTATAAATATGATCAGTGAATAACACATATGTCTTATTCTTATCACAGAGTGAAAGTAATATGTTTTTTTTTTTTTGTCACCAGCAAATCCTGATCAGAACATTTTGGGATCTGTTCCAAAATATTTGCCATCCTACTTCTATCAAACTTGGGACTCTTTTTATTATTGGCTAGAGAAATGGGACTTGGCTTAGATTTAAACATGTTTTTAAGTTATCATAAATGGAAAAAGAAGGGTGTGGGGACTGACCCAGTGGGCTCAATGTTTTTGATGATGGATCTTGTTTGTAGTTTTCTTTTGTTTTTTTTTTTTTTAGGATTATAATTTCAAATAAAACATATTTAAAAAAAAAACAAAATATTTGCCATCCTTTGAGTACTCTGATTTCATGAAGCCTTTATAAGGTTATTAGAAACATTAATGTCCAATAGTTTACCCATGTCTTTTAGTCATTTTTATAAGGAATTCTCAGATGCAGATGCAGGAACACCAGTTACTTGGGAGCAACAGGTAGAGAGGATTATTGCCTTCAAACTCTGCTTGTTGATTACCTGGGAAATTTCCAGACCACTAAGGGGGAAACAGTGTGTGGGACTAGCTCATATCCTTGCAAAAATGCAGGGTTAATATTTGTGACATCCCTCCATCCATGGAGTCTTCCAGCTAGAGGGCTTTGGGATCAAAGAAAAGCATTCCAAAGTTCCAAACATACACAGCTGATAGCACATATGCTACCTTTAAGAAACCTGGAAGTGGAACTGGAAGCAGGATAAAGCTACGTGATCTGGATGTCAGCTATTTAAAGCTTCCAAAGAAAGCTGATTGTTGCACTAGTGTTACTCATACCAGTTCTAGTATCCACTAACTGCTCCAGTAAGTCTGTTCCAATTACTTAAAAGGCCAAACTACATGTCTAGAACTTGCTGACTTCATGCCAGTTCACTGACTTAAACTGACCTGCCAAAGCTGCCAACTTCACTTGTAAGGAAAACTTTACAGGCTGCTGACTCACCTGATTTCCTGCCAGACTAAGCTCTTGAATCCACATGATCATCATCTAACCTCCATCTAGCAATCTCTTGAAAGATATCCAGTAACCATACCCTTGTCTTTTTGGTCCAACTGCCATCTAAGCCTAGTTCACTGAACCCTGATATTGCCACATGTTGAACTAAATCTTCTCCATCTAGAAACTTCAGTCAGTTTCCTTGGCTACTGAAGAAAACCCCTCCAAAGCCCCAAAGACTTCTGTTTAATCAGGGGCTGATGCGACAGGTTTCATAAGTGATACAGAATAGTTTACTACTAGCAAACAATGCCAACTTTAAAAAGAGGATTTCTACTTTTCATTTTATTCCAGTGGAAACAGTGGGATGAACAGATTGAATTCTCACTGTTGGTCAGTTTTTATTCTCTGGTATCTTTTTTGAAAACAAGGGGGTGATCTGTCCGTCTATGTTTAGCAAAGAACATTTATAAGGACTGAACTGCATCTAACAATCTGTAATTAAACAACTTTCAGCCCTGATTTATTTGCCAAATAATCTCGTGATTATTTAAAATTGTGCCTTCTGTCCAAACCCACTCAGCTAGAAGCAAGTTGAATGCTGCAGATGTACTCTTTACTTTAATAAATGGATGTGTTATTATAAAAGGGAAAATGGTACTAATAAACAGTTACAGATTAGGGTTTTTTGTTACCAAATAAATCCATGTACTTTGTTTTCCACTTTCTTTTTAAATGAAATAGAAGAATAAGGATTCTGAAACAGAAGGTTAGTAATATCAAAGGCACATCTGCTCCAGACAGGTGTGCAGGCAGACAAAAGTTCACCGAATTATCAACACTTGGAGGAGTATGATGGGATGGATGATAGTGGGGAAACCTGCATGACCTAATGGGATTGGCCTAGACAGAGGGATGTGCTGCCACAGAGGTACACATTCCCCCAGTGCCATTGTTCTTATTAACATGTAAAATATACAAAGAAACAAGGCAACAACAAATGGAGAGTTTTAAGGTTAAAATGGCCCTTTATTTATTTATTCACACATTTGTTTCACTTGCCAATATAATTCTTAGAATGCTATCAAGATTTTTCTGAAAACTAAGATGCAGATGATATACAAAAATCAAACACTGTTAGATTCGAGCTCTTTCTGAATGCTTTCTTTTGAAACAGAATGATTTCCCAGTATTATCTGAGAATATCACAGGCGATGATTTGTTATTACAGTGCCACTGTACAATTGGTTCTGTCAGTATTTGGACTTTGCCCAGTTCTCACTCTGCCAACATTTGCATTTTGTTTCTTCCCAGAAGCCTACTTATCCTGTTTTACAAAGGAAAATGCTTACCGACTTGCCAGTTTTTTGGGGGGTGGGGTGGGGTGGGGTGGGGGAGTTGGAGGAAGGCCTTTCTCAAAGAATTACACCCTATTCCCACACTCTGATGTTACTCTGAGAACCACTAAAATAAACTGTTCAACAGTGTTTTTATTCTAACTTTTCCCATTGTATAATCTTTGGCTCTAGGTAAAGAACAACAGTATTCCTTTTATCTGGGTTTAACATATTCCCTGGCCTCTGTACTCAGCAGGGCCTCTATGTTCTTCAAAGCACAGAGACATAAAACAAATGAACCAGTGCCAACACCACACCATCCCATCTCCCTGCCAGGAGGATGGGTAGGGAGCAAAGAAATAGCTTCATCATGTACATGAATATTAGGCATATTAATCCAAGTAAGGGCAGCGATCTTATGCAGAGTTAAAATAGCAGCCAAGGCCAAAAAGATCCAGGGCTGATTGTTGACATAAAACACCACTGGGGCAAGGGGGCAGGTTAACTCCTCTGCCTCTTGCACAGCGGTGGTGATCCAACTCAGGGCTGTCTGCAGGAGCTTTGTGATTAAGAAAGATGCCCGGTGCTAAGCACAATAACATCGGGGTGGCCATAACATAACATAACATCGGGGTGGCCATTGATTGTTGTGGCTGCACATCTTGAATAACAAAGATGAAACAATCTTACAACACTAAACTCTGTACAGGCATATCCATCTCAGTGGGAGAGAGGCTCCTTCCAAGGCTTTTCTCATGCAATCAGCCTGTCTCATTAACAGGCTTTTATGGGGATCCATTTGTCTTCCATTTGTATCCTGCTTATTTTTTCTCCCTACTTCTGTCTTGTTTATTACTGCAGAAAATCCATTAAAGAAAGAAGTACAGAATAGCTTCACAATGTCTTTTGAATTCTAGGGCTAAGAGACATCCATCTGGAAGCATCTTTAAGCATCCTCTGAAATCTCTCTAATGAATCCAGTGAAAGTAACTGGATTGAAAATTGCTGAATTGTAACTGGACCATACCCCACAATTTGTATATATTATAAAAACAAAAACATCTATTTACAACAATTAATCAGAACTCTCTACAGTAATGGAGTGAAGAAATATGCAATGTTGTTGCAGAGGGGTATTCATAGGATGCTGAGGAGAAAGGGAATTGGAGAGCAGGGTGAACCTTGGGTCTGAAGAAACAAAGGCTCAGTAAACACCCTGCAATGCTGAAGACCACTCAGCAAATAGCTCAGAAGAAGCACCAATTCTCTAGCTGCCACGATCTGCCTTGACTTCCTGCCCTAAAGCAAGAAGCTCCAATACAAGAGATAAATATCCAATCTATACTGCTGCTGAGGAGACGGATACCATACTTGGGAGTACTGTGATTAACTAGATTAACTCAGAGCTACTCTGAGACAAAATACTATTTACTCTGATGAGTTCTTGAACACTCTGGTTGGGAGAGGGTTTGATTGATTTTAAAGGACTGTAACTTCCATTTTGGGGCAGAGAATTGGTTATTTCCCTGATCTAATTTCAAGCTAATTATAAAGCCAGGTAACAAAGTTCTCTTTGGCAACAGTTCGGAATCAAGTGATAGAAGTAAAGTTACATGCTTATCAAGTATTACTAGATTCTCTGAACATGCAAATACCCAGGGAACACTCACAAAACTTATTTATTAAGCAGAAGTTTGAAAGGATTTTTGGAAGTCAATTTATAGGGGGTCTTTGAGAAGAAAAAAAAAATGGTCCTGAACCTTTTGTTGTGTGTTGGCATGCCTGTTTGATGTTTTAAGGCAAAACTGGCAAAATAGTTTCCATTTTTCTTGAGCTCAAACTTAAAACTGAAGTACATTTAAGACTATCACCCCCACTGAAACACAGCATGTTTCTGTTTGTGCTAAAAATCCTTTGGCTGGAAGGAAAGAAATACTTAATGTTTTGGGTGATTACTACATATAGTTGCTTATTCAGAAGAAAAACGGATAGCAATTTAGCATAGATAGTTATCACTTACAGTCTCTTGAGTGCTGTAATCTGTGATACTCCAAAGGTATTACTATTATTATTAACTTCATTTCTATAATGCTGAAGCTCTACACAGATATATCCCTGTGAAGCTACAAAGGTAGCTTACAAGTGGAACTGACATGAAGCTCCATCCCGCTCATAAGTTTAAACATCAGAATATTATAAATCCTGAGGGCAAATGGCATCCAAAATAGAACTCCTGTGCTACTTCAGCAGCTACTCCTGCAGAAGGAGCAGCTCACAGCCAGTCTGCCCATCCAATGAGGGTCAGTGCTGCCTTGCAAGGGAATAAGACAGGATGGAGGTGCAACCATGTGGAGAATTCGAATCTGATGTTTAGGTTTACATGCTGGTGCAAGAGCATGGACGGTCTCCTTGTTGTACCACTGGTATCTTTCCACTGATTTCTATGGCCCATTGACATTATACTGTACCCTATAGATTTATAATGTAAGATTTATTACAGTATCCGCTCAATAAAAATTGTGTGCACCTTTTCTCTGTAAAAGATTAAGGGTTGGATCCAGAGTTAGTCATCTTTAACAATGGGCCCATTGGAATCAGTGGTTGTGAAGTTTATATTGGCACCTGTTGATTTCAATGGGTCTTCTCTGAACATGTTTACATCAGGAACCAGCCCTTACAACACAATCCAAAACACGGGCGGTATCCATCAGTGAAATTACCCCAGTGAAATGAGAAGCTAGCACTTCTTAGAGCAACTGGAAATGCTCATTTCTGGAACAGAGCAGGATAGCAGAGACTGCAGAAGTTAACTCTGCTAACCTGTTCCTTTGTGGTAAGTAGCATCTTGGATTGTTCCTGGGGTTGCTCTAGTAAATCAGGACGACCTGTTGAATGGCTGATGGGCGCTAGGGCTGCAACACAACTGGCAGAGGGGCAAGGCCAGCACTGGGAACTGCCCCAGGTCTCCTGAGAAGTAAAGTCTACTGCATTCAATGGGACTTATTCCCAGGTAAGTGAGTATAAGATTGCAGCCATAGAGCACCATAGCATTAAAGTTTACAATGCAAATGTTTTCAGGCACCTTTGGGGAAAGAGGTTGAGATTGGAAGTGTGTATATTTTTAGTTTGTCCTCTTGACATCAGCTTACATTTTCCTTCTTTTCATTTAATCAGTAACTTTGAGCCACTGATACAATAGGCTTTAAAAAGTAACAACTATTAAGTGTTTGTTTCTATACAATGCACTTTGTATTATTTCAAACAGTGTATTATTACCAGCTATTGAATCAGCAAGAAGTAGTCCTCACAAACCAGTAATCAGACTGAGGAAGGGCTAATAACGTAGGACAGATTAAGAAATATCAAAATGATGTGCTGTACAGTAGTGGCTCAAGAGAACACTGAAGTATCCCCAGCTACAGGGGGAGGAACTGTCAGGATGACTCTACTTTGCTTTGGTTTCTGATGTATCTGTGTCAACATCCAGGTCTGTCAGGCAACAGTAGAGCACCATTTGAACATATTTGGTAGTTGTAGCTGAAAGATAAAATAGACAAATTGATGACCTCAGGTGTCATCCAAGGCTGAGAACTGCATGAAATTGGGCTGGATGCTACATTAAGTGGTCGAGCCACTTGTTGCTCACCCCTGGTGTGATGAGGGATGCAAGTATCACTAGATGATTAATAACATCTTTAAAATAATGAATCTTTAAAAGGCATCAATGGAGTGACCCTGTGGCTTCAGGCACTGGCTAATGTGCATAAAAGAATTTGGATTCCCAGATATGAGGTCAGAATCAGCAGTGCATTCTCCTTCCCTCTGCAGCTGTAACACAAAGAGTTGCTCTAGTTGCCCTCTGAAACCAGGAAAACAGCACCAGAGAAGGGCTAAAGAGGGCATTTCTAGGGCAGGAAGGGAAGGAGACTAGAGCGGACAGAAGAAAAGGTAACTAGACGTTTTCCCAGCATTCTTCCCCCACCCCCAAGTTTTCCTAGCAAAAAGCAGGCAAAAATGCCCATCTAGCAAAAATGCAGAAGAGGAAGATTGAGAGGCAAAGATCTCATCTGCTGCTCCTCCCTCTCTGCATCAGATGCCCATAAAGCTCCAGGTTCAGGACTTATGGCCATACCCATAGTATTGTGCCCTAAATGACATAAATTAGGCATTTTTGAAATTACAAGAGATGATATACAGGTTTTTTTTTTAAAAAAAAATCTGCATTTCTTACCTGAAAGCCACTGAAGATACCTGGGTCTCTTTTCAACTGGTAAATGGACTCCCAAAAAATAAGCAGGTATTCCAGAGAGTGCTATACCAATTCCAATAATAGAATTGATTGTATCACTATAGAGTGGAACTATGATTAGGAAAATGGTGCATATGCAATAGACAATAGGGAAGAAAAGGCTGAGCTGCAAATACAAAAAGATGAGTTAAGGTAAAAGAAAATATTGCATGGTATTGTATGAAAGTGCATAATATGGCATGAGAAAACTTTGCATGATATTATACCCCAACCCCATTCAAGTATTCCTATATCTAACTTGCTTTGCAATATACCAGCTTCCAGGAGACAAGAAAAATTACTGACTGAACCAGCAGCCATGATGAGTGAAATGGTACCTACAGGAATCTGATCACAAAATAGTGAGGAAAACTGTTGAAGAGGCCACTGTGCCTTCTTTGCAGGTCACAACACTGCATGATAAACATCAGGGAAAATATCTACCAGTTAGGAGTCCATCTTAATAAAAATTTCTAAGTTAATAACTTCTTGGTTTTTCAATTCCTGCAGCAGACTGGATGGTTTCCAGTACTACTGTTGCTCTTCCACTGATTCCATTGCACCTATGGGACCCCCTGCCAGCCCCATGGGGAGTTAGTATTGCCTAAAGCAAACCTCAACATCAGGGCAAGGATTCATGTCCAGGTCAGGACAGGTAACGAGCTCCTTTCTGTGCATTCTGCTGTCCTGTCTCATTCCAGAAGGGAGCAGTGGCTCCCTTTCTGAAGGCTTAGACCCCAGCCCCAGGGAAGGGAAGGGAAGGGAAGGGAAGGGAAGGGAAGGGAAGGGAAGGGAAGGGAAGGGAAGGGAAGGGTGGTTGGGGGCAGGCCAGAGGGAAGATGGGGAGAGACTGTGGATATACTGCATCCAGTGGCCTCCAGCCCCCATCCCAGCAGAGGAAGCAACTTCTTGTTCCATAACATTTATAGTCCACCCTTTTTCCTAAAGTCTGCCCACCCTTGGCTTAATGATAGGCAATCTCCTTCTAACCCCAAATTCCCTTCAAGTTGTTGTTCTTTGCTGGTGCCACAGTAGGCAAGGCAAGGTTATCTAAGTTCTAGGGAGGAGAAGTGTTTTCTTAAGCTTTCAGTAGCTGGTTAACTAGCAATTATCCTGACATTCTCAACAGTGTCAGGCAGCAGTGACAATGCTAATTGCAAAACCACTTTCAAAAATTAAATACCTGCACTAGTGACTTGGAGTACACATGAAAACACACACATTTTAAGCTTTCATTTTGTTATTAACTTACTTTAATGGGTCTCTGTTTCTCTGGTTGGGTATGTCTTAAGTATATTAGTCCTGCAATGGATAACCCCACAAACAACCAATAGCTGAAGCAATAGTAATTAATAAGGAGAAAGACATCTTCCACGAGGAGGTAAACCAAGGTCATTAATCCCTACAGAGAAACAAAACAAAACACAAAACAAAAAGTGTAAAGGCAAGTTGTGGTGTAGGGAAATCCATGTTCTAAAAATAAGCTTGGTTATAAACTTGAAGTTCTCAGCTTAAAATGTGCCACAAAACATCCCATAATATTTCTCATTACGTATTGACATTTTTCCATACTCCATTAAAGCACATGTAGTAATCAGACCCTGGCAGGATTAATGTTCTAAACAATTGCAAACATTTGTTGTTGGACTTTTCTACATGAGCTGTTAATTCCTTGCATCTACTTCTGCTTTTGTCACTGAACTGAGATTGGAGCCATACACAAGCAATGCTCCTTTGGATGTTTCCTGTTACATCACCTCTAGGTGGCTCTGTGGTATGGCACAAACACAAAAGCTCTTGTATTTCTAGTATCTGAAAAAAATACCCATTTTCCCTGCTATTAGAGAAACAAACAAACAAACCTCACATAAAAAGCTTCTAAACTGGTCGTGATGTTGTCTGAATAACTTCGCAACCATGAACAGGGAATGATGATTGCACTGCCAATGCTCACCCAGAGAAGCTCCTTGATCGTTCCTCCCCTTCCTTGGCCACCATATGTAGCTTTTTCCTCTTGTGTGTGCTCTTCTGTGCTGTGACTAGAAAGGTACCAGTTCTGCAAGAGTGCTCTGCAGTTCGAAGCAGGCTTCAGTGGCAGGCCCCCTGCCAGATCTGAAACTGCATGCACACCGGTTGCTGTATATATTGATGCCTTGGCTAGGTGCCTTCCTCCAGCAGGCACAGATGTGTGCATTGTTTGCTGCCTATGCTCAACAACTGTATGCACACTGCCCCACAGATGGGCTTGGGTGTGGACAGGAAGCTACTTAGAATTGAGCTGATGTGATCCCCTTGCAACTATATGGTGGTGATGCAAAATGCATCCCTCTCCAAAGTCACCATGCACAATTATTAACATGTGAGTTACTGCTTGTGAGGGTGAGAAAGCACTCAATCTTAGTGTTGAAAGGCAGATTACATGAACTTTTATGAACTGTCCAGAAAGCTTCTGCTCTTGAGTGGTGTAGGAATGTGACAAATAAATAAGAGAACTTCCTTCTGGTTTTATATGATTCTGGCAATCTGAGGACCGTATGATGGTGCAGGAAAACCCCTTCTGAGGCTGGAGACAGTGCCCTGACCTTGGTAGGGAGCAATGTAGATGGAAACTAAATCTTTGCAACCAGAATGGATAGAACCACGCTAGCTGCTTCTCTGGGGTTGAAAATGTGACCTTGAAGAGGGTGGAAAGGGGATGTTCTGGTAGGTGGGGAGGGAAAGAGACTGGAGAGGCCAGGATATTTTTTCTCCTGAGCCCTTTCTATTTTCTTTTCTTCTGATGTGCCCTGGATAGACAGACTGAAAACACATAGCTTGTATAGCTGGCTCTCCATTTGACTTTAGTGTAAGTGCATCCAGAGTGGAACTACCACATGCAGGGAGTTCAGGTCTAAACCTCTCCACCCAACTGCTCCTCCCTGCTAGTTTTGCACCCAGACTCCACAGGCAATAAAGAAAAAAACTAGCCCTAAATGTTGCCAATGCAGTTGTATTTTTCTTTCTTTAGCTCCTGTACTTGGTGGTGGTGGAAAGATTTTGGTGGGAGTGGCTGGATGGGAAGATTTGCCCCATCTTACCTGTGCTCCATGGTCCCAGCCAATCCAGATCTGGGGTCCTCCTTGCTTGTACTACACTAAACATGCAAAGAGGATCCACTGCACTCTATACGTCTCATGTTGCTTAGCCCTTGGCTGGCCCAGGACTGCAGAACTGAGGGGAAACACAGTCTGCCTTCTGCCATTGGCCAAACGATTCAGGACACATGAGGCAGCAGGCCTGCCCTCACCCATCAACCCGAGAAGGGGCAGCTTGACTCCCTCCTCCCTGCCAGAAAGGACACTCAGGCAACCAGGCACCCTCACACTGTCAAGCCAGATGAAAACACCTGCTGGGATTGACTCTCCCATCTGCACTGGCAACAACACCAGTACACTGACACCAAGATGGAAGAATTCAAAAGCAGAAGACTTAAGGACTGCTGGATTCTGTACCTGTGAGGTTCTGGGATTTTTTAATATTATTATAAGCTGTTTCTCAGAAGAATCAAGATGATTGGAAGATAATTGAAGGACAAGGGAGAAAATCTTCTAACTAACAAGAGCTAATTTAGGCTGCAACCCTACCTATACACATTTACCTGGCAGTAACTCTCATTGGAGTAAACGGAGCCTACAGCTAAGGGAATCTGTATCATCTCTCTGTCTGTGCTTTAACTAAATATATGAATAAACATTGGGCTTGGCAAGGGAAGGTTTTCTCTGCTTGGCTCAGTTTATGAAGTATTAGCCAGGACCAAACATGTCATTCATGCACGTTTCAAAACAAACAAAATCAATGTATCCAACACTTTGCTTTCTTATGCCTTGTGATTACTTACATTAAAAAGAAGTGCAGGAACAGGTGTGAAACAGTTTATATGAATCAAACTCAGGCTGTTAGGCAGATGTCCTTCTCTGGCTCCAACATAAAAAAGCCTTGCGCAAAGTGAACAAAGTTTAAATGCACAGTCTTACTACATTCTGAAGCAACTCTGCAATGTTGATTACATAAAACTACCTGCAGCAAAGCATTGATAAAGAAACAGCTAAAGGCTGAAAAGTTGGAAGTTTCAAATGCCCAGGAAAATAGAAGCTGAAAAGGTCACAGCTTTGGCACCAGGCTTTTCACCATCTTGGGAAAGTGTGTTCCACAGCTTGGGTGCTGCCACCAAAAAGCCATCTTTGCTAGCAGCCATCCATTGCAACTCAAAAAGGGCAGGTTTGCATTTGTGTCAAGTAGAGATAAGCATAAGATGCTTAATGTATAAGCATACCATTATATAATATAATGGTAAATTATATTATATGATTACTCTCTCAAGGTTCTTAGTTATGAAAGGTGGGATAGAAACAAAAAAAGCAAAAAACCAGGCAAAATATTTGTGGGAGGAGACAACCTTTCAGAAACTTGGCTCAAAACCATTTAGGCTTGTAAACATTATTGCAAGCACTTTTTGATTGAGCTGGGAAAGCAAGTGGTAGACAGTGCAGATGGAAAAATACTGGCTTAATGGGACAGCAACATTACATAAGTCCTTATAGATAGCAGTGGCTTTGGGCTGATTCCTAAGAAGTGGCTGCCACTGTTTATGCATTGCATGGGAATTAGCTTCTCCATATTCTAATTTTGTCCATGTTACATGGATAGGGAATAAGAGAACATGCTCATCTGTCTCACCAAGAAGCTTTACAATAGTGAGCTGAATCCAGTGTTAGTCCAACTTAAATCTCGTTCATTTCAGTGGATCTCCTCTAAGGAAGAGTAACATTGGATACGGCCCATTGTAAGTTGGCAGAGGGCACATTCCTTTCATTCCACAACTGGTCACACCAGCAGAGCAAGGAAGTCCTATTCCCCCTACCATTACAAGATAGTGATGAAAATATTATTCATCATTGTTATACGCCAGAAAACTCTGACTATTGGGCAGTATAGAAATGCAATAAACAAATTAATGAACAAACTAAACCAGGAAGAAAAACAGCATGCTTAACTGTAGGACTTTTTCTGTCTAAATATGCATAGGATAACAGCTTCTGCAAAATTATACTGCATGTTGATGTTATTTTAAAATGTGGTTTTGAGGAGAACACTGTTCCAATCTTTTAGCTCAGTTAAGGGCATAGACCCCAGCACTTTTCTGAGGCTGCTTGTATCACTTTCTTTGTGGGAGGTTTACAGCATCCTTAACACAAGGTTCCCTCTCCCTCCAGGGTGTCCTCTCTGCCTTTTCAGATGTTCCTACATGCCCCATTACACTACACAAGATGCTGATGTGGTATAGAGAAGGCTTGCAACATTATGCCAAGCTTCTGTAGCACAGAATGGTGGCATCCAGGACATAACCAACATTCCTTGCTCTAAAAAGGAAAAAGAATGGATAGAAATGCCAGAGAAATATTGGAGGATGCTAACATGGGAAAAGGGAACTACAAACTCCCATAAGAGGTGGAGCAAATGCACATAATAAATGCTTTGTGTACAGAAACCCTAAGTACAGGAATGATGCATCTTTCCGTGAAATTACCTGTTACAAAATGCTACTGATCATCTGCACAGTGCAAGCTTAATCATATTTCTTACCTGGAAGCTGCTATTATGGATGAGTTTAACCCTCCATAACACGACATGGCCACTGTAATAGGAATGATCCACTTAGCATGGCTAAGAGCTTCATTACCAAAAGTCTGCAATAAGAAAAGGGAAATAAACAGAGAAAGAGAGGCTCCATTCAGCTTGTTTCAAGATGTCAGTCAACCCTCATGGAAATGTGCAGCTTAAACCATTTTTGATAAAAAATGTTCACCCCCAACTTGAAAAAAGCTCTTGAAAAGCTAAGTGAATACTAGATTAGTCATCCATCACGATACAGCTAAATTTCCATTGAGTGGATGCTTAAAGAACAAAAAAAAGATGAAACTGATATTTGGATTAAAGCTACCATCCCAATCCAGCAGTGTGATCTAATCACTGCAGCAAGATTTAGTCAACTTCCAAACTGTATGCTAGATAGGACAAGGGATTATTATTCATGCTGTCCATTCTAAAGTATGTTTTACTATATGTGTGATGCAGGGAAAGGGTCTCCACACCTCTGAAATAAGACAGTGTCAGTCAAAACGTAACGGAAAGTCAGTTGCTCATGTGTCCAAGCAACAAGCACAGATGTAAGATCCTGTATCAATAGCTGCTTGTTCCACTGGGTAAGCACTGGTAGGACATGGACAACGTGAGTGGCCCATGCTAGGGATGGATTTAAAAAGGGTCCAGGAGCAAGTCAATGGCAAGAGGACCTCATAATTAGTTTTATTTATTGCACTTATATGCCACACCTCTTAGCCAAAGGCACTCTGGACAGCTTACGCAGGCAACACTAAAACGCCAGTAACAGTAAACAGAAGTTGCAGCACACGGGAGTAAAGGCAGATGCTTCAGGGGTGAATGAGCCCCCAAATCCAAAGCCCTGCTGTGCTCATGTTGGCAGAATGGATAAGAAGGAATACTGTAGGAAACGTGCTCCTCTCATCTCTCAATCTTCCCAACTGCAATGGTAGCAAAATCATTTACAGCAGCCTTCTGGGTTGAGGCAGCTTTCTCCCTACTACCAAGTGTTTTGGGAATTTGGGAGACAGAGAATTTGGGGCTTTGGATCCTGCAATTCCAAGGTTGCTTCAATCCATGCACCCCATGCCTGCAGTTCCCTCCCTTTGAGCTCTCCCATTGTGCACACCTGTGCTTTTCTCACATGTGCACAAACAATTTTGAATTATTGCCTTGTGTTAATTTGTTAGCTTTTAAAAGAAATCTAAATATTTATCAAAAATATTGGGGATATTCCTGGAAGTCAGATTGGCAACAACAGTGGTTGGATGGTTTCATGGTTGCCTGACACCCACAATCACAGCTACATCATATTTTACTGCTACCTCGTACTCTGGATTCTGTTGCCAGCAAATGTTAATTGCCCAGTTTGAAATTATGTGAGACCTAAGCTTATATGGAAAATTGTGTAGGGAAAGTGTGGATTAGGGAAATGTCTGGAAAGCTAAGTTGTAAACAAATATACTATGCACAATGAGCAGTATTCAACACTGCTGTTCCATTCACATGATTGCCATATTTGCTGCTGTATGTGACCTGCAGAATAATGCCAGTAGTGTATTCTCTGACTTAATGGGTTTCTTGGGAAAACCTGTCACATCCTCAGGAACTATCAACATTGAGCTACAGGTCACTTGCACTAATGTAACAACAGTTGCATCAGCAGGAACAGCAGCACTGAATACCGCCCAAGATATTTCCTATTCAGATGATGCCAGAACAGAAGCACTGTTGGCCTTTACCGTAGCCAGCAAGGGTACCCCACTGGGTCCTTCCAGATGGAGGGTTCCTAGCACTGCCAGTTGGAAGGCACGGTGCATCTTTTTCTCTTTAGCTGATATCCCATGGTAAAAATAAGATAAAACAACAGGAGGTGTGCTTGGTGATGGCAAAACTAACTAAATATGTAAATAGAAGACTGTTAGAAGAATTTAATGACAAATGCAAATTTTATTGTGCTTAGCATGACTAATGGAAGTTCAGGGGAGTTTGGAAAGGAAAAAGGAAAGCATTAGAATTTGAACTAGAATTCTTTTTTGCAAACTCTCACAGAGCGTGGGAAGATATGAAGAGAGTCAGTTTTAGGGGCTGCAGTATATGGGCTGTGTTTGTTTCTAATTCCCTTGGCAACTTTGCTTATTTTGTTCACTTTAGTCTGTTCTGTTTATGTGCGTTTTTCTTTTGTTCAGCATCCTCTTTTATGCAATTGTATATGTTGGGAAAATAAAAAGTAAAAACAAAGCAAAACAAACAAAGAAAATGTGGTTGGAAAAAAGAACCAGGAGAAGATTACAAGTGGAGGATGATTTTATATATTTCCTCCATGAAGTTTTATGAACGAGGCATTGCGACGGGGCAATAAAAACCTCACCGGGAAGCAGCCATCATTTTTGATATTATTCAACATCTTCATGAGGTGCTTTCCCCAGTATCAGACATTGGATTCCACCGGTGGTTTACAACGTACCACTGCCACAGCATCACTTGCTAACAGAGCAGGCATGTCCAGCACGACATAGTAGGCCACATTAGTCAGGAGATAAATGATTGTCACCACAGGCATTGAAATTGCAATGGAAAGTGGCAAATTCCTGCAGACGGAAATCAGAAGAATTGGCACAGTGTTTGTAATGGAATGAATGGTAAACCAAAAGGAGGAAAAATGAACAATGCAGCCATTCATACATACAGCTCTCCAAACATGAATATTACAGAAATGAGCCATTGCTAACAATGCACTCAGAGAATATTGTACGAGTGTTCTGCATGAGTCATGCATGTACCTTTCTGGGTTTTTCATTTCTTCAGTGACAAAATTCAGTGTATCCCATCCAGAGTAGGAAAAGAGGGCTGAGTAAAGCGCAAGTGCAATTAATCCGGCATTAGTAGTTGAACCTTCAAATGGCTCCTTGAGGTTTTCTGTTTGTCCTATGGAAATGTCAGAAACCTGTGGTTATTCCCATACATGCACAGAGACAATCTGTGTGGATTATGCAAAGCTCATGTAACTTTGATTCCAGAAAGAAGTGGGTGCCCATGAAGGTCATCTATAGGATGATTTTAGAGCAAGTGTTTGGTGTTCTGAAGCCACAGGGCTCATTCACATTATCCATTTGGGTCACAATATGCTCTCTGCTGGGTCAAGCACAGACAGGGTCATCTGTCAGTGATGGGACACCATGACATGAATGGGCTGTTCACAGTCTATCATGTATGGCTATCCATGATTTGAGATGATAACATAAGATGTTACAATTCATAGGATTTGATGGAAATATACAAAAAGAAAGCCAAAAATTATGGCATGGTCTAGGCCAGTATCCTCTGTATGCTCTTCAGTTTTGTTAGTATTTGTACATAGTAAGTATGTTCTTACCTTGGCTAATTTTATAAAGACCCACAGCTATAACCATAATAAGGGCCATAACTTTTGCATATGTGAAAAGATCTTGTATTCTGGTTCCCCACTTCACATTGACACAGTTAATAAATGTCAGGGAGCCTAATAAGAAAATAGGATACAAACAAGATAAGCACAGTTAGCTGTACTTCATTAAAATGCAGGATATTTGCGTTTTTATCTTTTTATTTTAAAGAAATCAACTGAATGCAATAAGGACTTAAAAGTGGAGGGGAATAAGAGTTATCAAAATGCATACAAAAGGATTTTGCAAGAAAGGCGGTGATAAAGTTAGTGGGATACGCCTGTTTCATGTACAAGCCTGCCCCCTGATGGAAAACAGGAGCAGCGCGATGTTGGCACAAAAGACGGTCATCTGTAAGGAAATAATTGATTTGAAAGTTAGTTACATCATGGATGATTTGCACGTTCTGAATCTGTATTCTCTACATGTGTCTGAGTAGATTCACCAGCTCCAAAAGGGAACAACTCTGAAAATTAGGAAATGCAAGAAATATATTTAATTTATGCCTGCCAGATAAACAATAAAATTAACCACTTTGGGGTTATGTATACGTATATAATTGTATGGGTCTGCTAAAAATGAAATACAGCTAGAACATATGAACTTAGGAGGAAATTTAATAATGGCTGAAAAAATTCTAATTGTGGTAACCTAGTGGTCAAGAAGCCTAATGTGTCCATTAAGCTCTTACACCTAAACTATCAGAAATGTTTTGCATAGGGGGACATAGACAACAAGGAGATAAATGGAAGGCTTTTCTTCATCCAATACATGAAAAAAAATGTACCATTGATATAAAACACTATAAAGCCTGTTGTTGTTGTTACTGTTGTTCATATGATTACCAAGAGCTCTAAGGAATGAAAATAATCTGAATCAGTATGCTTGCCTAGAATCTTTTCCACTTGAGAGATTTTACTTGCTGCTTTACTAAGGCTTCTTTTTCTTTTTCACTGTGAGAAGAAAACTGTTCTTTACTTGGGTCTTTTGCTGGGGTTTGCATTTCTCTGCCCTTCTAGATATTCTATTAACAAACCAAACGTGGCATTTCTCTATACCAGGGGGGAGGCCCTGGGGAAGGATGATGTCATGAAAAGGGCTCACAAACAGCTGTGAGCGAGGGCTCGCCAGTGCACAGTGGATGCCTCATGCATGCAGACAAGCTCCGAGACTTTGTCCTCCCTTCTGCTCCTTACACTGTAGAAATAGAGTATATGATGGCAAATAGGAAGTGGATGTATCTCCTAAGATTATTCTTACCACCCTTGTCTGACCACATTTTTGTGTATACTAAAGAAGAGCTTGGATTGTGCTTTTATGAGTGTGCCAGTGGCTTTCTTTTTTAAGGATAATGATAATGAGTTATTCATTGGCTAGCATGTTAAAAATGCTACAATTGGGTGGTGCAATTTTGTAGTTTCCCTATACTGCAGCTATAGGTGTAAAGGAACAGATAGCAAGGCAAAGAGAGAAAATTGCGGGGCTGTGAGGGAGGTGGGTATGAGTTAAATCCTGCATGGTTCCAAAGCATTTCTCAACTGCTGAGCACAGCTTAGGCTGTCTTATTGGGAAGGAGGGATCAGGGAAAATGAGGTAGAATGCTTGCACCTAGCACGAAGCCTCCACTGGGTCGAAGTCATAAGCAGTAGTAATGCCCATGCATATTTCACGCAAGGAAGAAGGCTACTTCAAGAATGTCATCAGATGAATTTGACAAGACAGCAAAAATACATGTACAAAGTACTGAGAAATGGTCTACATTTTCCAACAGGGAAATGGAAGCCAGGGAGTGATGGGCCAAAATGAAACTGAGGATGCAAACCTGTGGCCTCTGGTTTGGACATTATCTGGGACGCCGTAGGATTTTACTCATTCATTCATTCATTCATTCATTCATTCATTCATTCATGTATTTACAGGCTGCCTATAACTTTCAAGGCCTTCCTAGGTGGCTTACAATTCACTGAGATTTTGGGAAGCCTGAGCACTGATGATCTTGATGCTTGGACTCCAAGGGCTAGTCTCCTGCCCCCTAGAATTTCATGTGACACCACCTGCCCTCCCTTACATTCACAACTGGGCCTGGGAGGAGAGGAAGAGGCTGAGGCCATGGAACTGTGCTGATTTCAATCAGCATCCCAGCAGTCTTCCTTTCCCGCCACTGTCTCAAAATCTGGAGGTGCAAAAAGGGTCTCATAAGCCTCCAATATCAGCATATTACATAATAAGCACCACACAAGGTCTGTTCTTCCAAACATATAATCATTGCTACAAACATGCAGAATAATTGCTACTGTGTGCTTTAGTGCAGGAGGAGGTATCTTGGGGACCTCCAGATGTTTTGGCCCACAACTCCCCTGATTCCTCACCATTAGCTCTACTGACTAGGACCGATGGAGTTATGGCCAACTCCTGGAGGGGTAGATAATTTATGGAAATCTTCACAGGCTGCATCTACCAGGCTAAATGCAGCCCATACAAGAGATGTCACCATGGATTATTGGGTACTCAACAGATCTTCCATTTTTGCCATTCCAAAGCCAGGAGTAAATCCTAGAGGCTTATTGAGATCCTGGTGAACCAGCAGACATGTGGCAGAATCTGATGTCATGTGGGTGTCTGTGAAACTCCCCAGTGGTGCAATAGGAAGCTAGCTCTTCCTAAAGCAATTAGAAATGAGCAAAAGTGCCTGTTACCAGGATGGAATGGGGCAGCAGAGCTCAAAGGAGGAATGGTTGCTGACCTCTCCCTTTCTGGAAATTGGTATTTTGTATCATCTCTGGACCCGTTTTAGGAAGTGGCACCTCTCCTTTGCACCAGTAGCGGGTTCCAGAAGTGGCATGATACAGTTGCTAGAAATGGAGTGCTGGATCCTGCCAATGGTGTGCAGGTTTTTTGGCTGGGTGGGCAACAGGATGCATCATTTTCTTTAGCCTGCTTTCAGAATTGCATGGCATGGCATGGTCTTCTCTCCAATCAATTTGCCTTTGCACTACATTCTGTATTTGTCTATCATATAAATACAAAAAGTTGTAGTTGTTGTTTTTAATTGATAGTCCTGTCACAATTCCTTTATTTCATATTTGGCCTTCCTGTTCTTCTGTTTCCTTTGACTGTCCCTAGCATTAGTGTCTTCACCAATGAGTCTTGCCTTCTCAAAATATTGCCCAAAGTACCGCAGTCTCAGGTTTGTCATTGTTGTTTCTACTGAATGTTCTGGCTTGATTGGATCTGGGACCCAATTATTCCTCTTTCTGTCAGTCCAAGTTCTTTGAAGAACTCTTAACCTAGCACCTTGCCTCCAATTCATCAATGTAATTCCTGTCTATGCTCTTCACTCTCCAGAGTTCAGGCCCATGCACAGTGATTGGGAATACAATAGTATGGATGGTCTTGGCCTTAGTCTCCAGTGAAACATCCTTACCATATACGCCTGCCCGCTCCTTGAGATCGGCGGGAGAGGCCCTTCTGCAGGAACCCTCCGTGAAAGAAATTAGGAGGGTGAGTACCCGGAGGAGGGCTTTCTCTGCGGTGGCGCCCAATCTATGGAATGTGCTCCCCAGAGAGGTCCGCCTGGCGCCGTCGTTATTTGTTTTTTGGCGCCAGGTGAAGACCTTTTTATTTAAATGTCATTTTAATTGTTAACAATATTTACTTATTTATCTGGCCAGGGCGACTTCTTTTCTTTTCTTTTATAACTTTTCTAACTTCTTTTATATCGTTTATATTTTTTATTTATTTTATATTATTAATTTTAATTTTATATTGTTATTTTTGTATTGTATTTTATTGTGTTGTAAGCCGCCCCGAGGCTTTGGCAAGGGGCGGCATAGAAATGTTCTAATAATAATAACAACAACAACAACAACAACAACAACAACAACTTCATAGTGATGACACTTCTGGGACCACATTGGCACTATGAAACTCCTCGAGTTTAATGGATTTGATCAGTAAAACTGTCTTCTGTTTGGTTTTACAGGCTGGGGGCTGTAAAAGCAGATTCTAACACTCAAAGTAACCAGCTCTTCTTTGCACCAGCCCGCCCCATTCATGGATGATCCACCTCAATTGGTCTTGTTCTAGCTTCAAATGTCTTGGCATTGAGCCCTGGCATCACTCAGAGCATCAATAGTAATTTTTAAAAATCCAAGCAAAATCTGGTCAAACGGAAGTGCTGAACAAATAAAAGATAGTGAAACTGGGTATTTGCAGGAGTGTTTGTCTGTCTGTTTTCAATATCTCCAGATGTGAGAACAAGGAGAATAGATACCCATTCTTTCAATGCTGTCCAGCATTCAAAGAAAAGTTATAATTGGCTACAAAAGAGCTTGGATTTAGAGGAATGTGACATAGTCAGTGCTGAAGATTATGGGTAGGTTTGCATGACATGCTAAATCAGACTTCCTGCAGTTTGGCTTAGAAACTACCCTACCTGAAATGCACATGACAGATGCTTTGGCACATCATGGGTAGGGTACACTCTGTCTGCCCCGCCTCCTTGCTTGGCATACCATGGAACCATACTCGTTGACTGGGGCAGGGAAGGGTAAGCAAGGAGTGCTGATTGGCAGCTGTGCCATCACACCTTGCTCCTCCAGCTGCACCAGCCAGGATGTTCCGCCATATTCTGCTGACCTGCTCTAGAAGAAGCCACTGAGTGCTCCCTCCCTATTTGGCACTGTGGCTGCCAAGCAGTAGCAATGCCAGACACGGGTGGCTCTGTGCCTGCCTGAGTGAAGTAGAGCGAAAGCTTCCGATAGACACTCTCAAGTGGGCTCGGGCTTGCCTGGCAGCCACTTGGCTAGAGTGGCAAGGATTTCTCTCTTCTCTTGCCAAGCACCTCTGTGGTAGTTATATATTGTTTTGTTATTTATACTGTTATTTATTTTATATTGCTATTTATTTTATATTGCTATTTTTATATTGTTATTTTTGTATTTTATTCTCTCCTCTCTTGCCAAGCACCTCTGTGGTAGTTATATATTGTTTTGTTATTTATATTGTTATTTATTTTATATTGCTAATTTGATATTGTTATTTTTGTATTTTTTGTATTTTATTTTGTGTTGTGAGCCGCCCCGAGGCTTCGGCAAGGGGCGGCATAGAAATGTTTTAATAAATAATAAATAAATAAATAAATAGTTGGGGTCACTCTGGGCTTGTTGTGCCGTTTGGGTTCAGATCATGCAGCGAGTCCAGTGGTGGCTTCTAAGCTCTGCAACAAGCAGTGACCTGTCAGGGTGGCTTCTATGCTCTGAATCTGGGCCGTTATCCTCCCTAAATAAGCCATGGTGGATTCACATGACACAACAAGCCCCACCCCACCCCAGCTTATACACTGGGGGAGGGGCTTATCAGGTCATGCAAATTCAGCCTATATTTATTTATTTATTTATTTAAAACATCTGTATGCTGTTCAATTGTTCCACAGCATCTTTGGGCGGCTCACAATCACAAGATAAAAACACAACGAAAACATATAAAAACCAATAACACATTAAAAGTAACAATAAAATACAAGCAAAAAATACAAAACAAAGGTCTTGTGGCATTAGTTACCAAAATATTTTTTTTTAAGGAAGGTCTTCACCTGGCACCAAAAAGAAAGTAGGGAAGGGCCCAGGCAAATCTCCCTGGGGAGAGCATTCCAAACATGGGGAGCGGCTGCAGAAATGGCCCTCCTCCCAGCGGCCACCCCTCTACCCTCCTAAAGGGATACCCACACAGGAGGGGCCCCTGTGTAGATCTCAAAGGCCAGGTAGGCATGTACAGTACATATATGCTCCATTTACCTGCAGAGTATAATATTGAACAGATGCTTTGCTGAATGTTCAAGCCTTTCTAGAAACTATCACCCACCCCTCTGGCTTGAGGTTAGAGAGAGCAGTTCAGGGGCATGCTTTCAAAAACTAGCATTATGTAAAGAGATGCCAGCTCACTTTTCAGATTCAGTAATAGAAAAGATTGACAAAGAGCATTAAAAGCCCTTTTGCAAGGCTAGGGAGCTAGATTTGGTTTTAAGACATGTAGACTCAAAGATCAACTTCATATTATGTAATCTTTGGAATGACACAACCCCACAGCTCATTTCTTCTTCCAGAAACTAAGCTGTGCGTGTGTGGTGGAGGAGGGCAGAGGAAGAAGCCTGGTCATAGGTTAATGGTCACTCAGTGGTGTTACACGGAGGAGGCAGACAGCTTCTCTCTTGAACTGGGAGCTCGGCATGATGCAATCTGAGAATATGAACTGAAATGTACTTGCATTTCTCAGAAGCAGCTGAAACACACATAGACACCAACACAAAGGCATGTGTGTGAGAAGGTTGGCTATGTCCCAAGTAGCATCTTCCCACCTCCAAAGAATATAAAAGTGGCCTTGCTGGAGCAGCCGTTGCCTCTCAGCAGTCCCTTGTGAGCAGCAGACTTCAATAGGTCTGGAAGCTCACACAGAGGGTATGAAAGTGATATTTATCTGCAGCATCTCTTGGATTGTTTATGTCAAATATCTGGGAATCACTAGAGAGAGGAAAAACCGGGGAGGGAAATCTCTAGAGACCTGGTGTGGCGTTGCTGCTGCTGCTAGCACAGCCAAATTTGCCTCACCCTCGAATTTGGCAGCACACCGGGGTTGGAAAAGCAACAATTGCTTTGAGACAAGGTGCTTGGGGAGCACGCCCCTCATTTGGAAGCTAATTTGCACCCCAGGGAAAGTCCTGGATGCATTCTGCTTCCAAGCTGGATGCAAGTTCCAAAAGTCCCTGGTGCTGAAGCAAATTCTTTGCTTCTTTTGCTGCTGCTCCTGAAGCAGTACATTCTTTGGAATGAGCTGCAAAAAATCAGGGAATGCATGCCGCTCACAGGACATGGTTTCCTCCCGCCCCTGTTCTGTAGTCTGAGATAGCTGGTCCATGATGCCTACAATACTTAACTCCCCAAGGAGTCAGGCAGAGGACTTTCTTTTAATGGTGCCAGCAGGACTTTGAACAGAATTCCCAGCTCCTGTTCCACCAAATGAGCAGGAATGTCCTCAAACATAACAACACTAACTTCCCTTGTTTTGAAGCACATTCCGTAATTACTATCACAATGAGATGATTAATGCCAGAGTCTAAAATTACTTAACTGTATTTAATATTTAACCATTTTTTTTTCATTCTCAGGCTGTGTCAGTTGCGCTAATGCAGCTGTGGGCAACTTACGTCCTTCCAAGGTGTGTGTTTGTTTTGTTTTGTTTTTGGCTTACAGCTTCCATGTTCCCTACCATTGGCTATCTGACTTGACCTGATGGGAGTTGCAGCCATCCAGATATTTCATCCTACAAGTTGCCCACTTCTGAGCAAATAGAAATTTAAATTTTTGTTTACAATGAAAACTGTCTTGAGTGCCATGGTCTTGGTAGAAAGGCAGGGCACCGAACTAATCAATAAATGATATAGCAGATACTTATGCTTTTTCTGGCCACCTTTTTGTCAGAAGATGAATAAAACTGCTGCTTGTGTTCTGAACCTACACAATCAACATACATTGTTGGATGGATTGACTACAGTTTTACTTACAGATGCAGGCAGCTGCAATCAACCTAACGGCTCCGTAGGGTGGATCGCAGTATGGAAATATTGGCTGAACAATGTAATTAGCAAAAGTGATGGCTATGACTGCCTGGGTTGTTGGTTCAATGATGAGCAAGGAAGACCATAGTCTGATAAAGGCTATAAAGCCTCCGAATGCTTCTAGAATATAGGCATAGCTTGCTCCTGATTTAATGATGGATGTCCCCAGTTCAGCATAACACAATGCTCCGAACAATGAAAAGATCCCACCAAGGGCCCAGAGGAGGAGGGAGAGTCCATACGAGCCACTGTACATCAGAACACCCTTGGGAGAGACGAATATCCCAGAGCCAATCATGTTCCCTACTATTAAAGAAATGCCATTAAACAAGGTGATTTCTTGTTTCATCTGCATTTTTTCCTTCTTGTTCTCTGCCACTGAGTCCAATTCATGTAATCCATTGTTGGGTATGTTCTTTTTCTTGCAACATGCTTTCCAAGGGCATGTCATCTTCAGTTAATCATTACCTGGAAATAAGAAGGAAAGAATGTTTTGTCTGCTAAAACAAATGACACAGTCACAAAGGACAGAGGTACAAGCGGAAGCCTGTAGCAGCTCTATAAGTGCATGACATTCAGAGCCATGTGGTGTGATGGCTGTTTGCATAGTCTCCGGCTGCACAAGAAGTCCCAGGAACTACTGCAGAATTGACCAAGTGGCCAGAGCTACATGTGTTTTGCTGCCTTGTGTAGTTTGTGCTGCCAGACAGTAATCAGCCACTGAAATCTTCCCCAGCCTGGTGTCTTCTGCTGGACTACAAACCCCATTGCCATTGCCAGACCATGATGGCTGGGTAAAATGGAAGGTGTAGTCTAACATGCATGGGAATCAACAGGTTGGGGAAAGCTATACTACTGTGAGATTCTTTGGGACCAATCCTATGTGTGTTTAGTGAGGAAAAAATGTCCCAACCCTCCCAGTATTCTCCTGGCTGGTTTGGGCATGCTGGGAATTTTTAGAATATTTTCCTGTCTAAACATGCATAGGATCCTTAAGAGCCTATTTCCACCTACAAGATGAGAAATGCATGATGAACATTTCCATCCCCAAGAAGAATAAGGACCTAGATATTGGTGACAGTAGCATTTGTGATCTTATCTTTGAATAAGCTTTCCACCTTTACACAAGGAACTGAGCTGGGAAGCACAGATTGAAAAAGGAGCTCATACAAGAATGAATGGTGGGCGTGCAGAGAAGGAATTCTCAAGCAAGTTCTTTAGCTTCACATTTAGAAAGCTGAACCTGAAGGCATTCAAATTTGAAGACTTTGGGAACCATCTAATTGGTTTAGGATGTCATTTCTGCTGCAGTAGTGGTCACTCCATTTATTAGATAAGTGTGTGTGTGTGTGTGTGTGTGTGTGTGTGTGGTGGGGGCGGGGATATAGCAGCCAAGAACAAGCTTCCTGTGAGGTTAGAAAAAAAGAACTCTCTCTTATTTCCTAGCATCCCATCCTGCCAATCTGTCACTTTAACGCTCCCCTCATTCGATGGGCTAGTAGGAAAATGTGGAACAACTTAGTTTTCTCTTGGCTTCCTCATTGGCCAGCACTTGCTTCCCATCCCACAGCTGGAAATGGCAATAGCAGCAACCATGCTGAAGAAGGGGCGTTGCATGCAGCCCAAGCATTATGCCCGCAGTACTGGGGCCCCCAGTGAGAGGCTTCATAAACTGCCTGAGTACCTTGGGCAGTCTTAGCTAGGCAGGCCACCATTTTATATATAAGGATGTCCACAGTCTTAATTCTAGGCGATATTTTCTTAACAGGAATGACTGAGTGTAGGAATGAAGGTAGAACCTCTTTGGGGATGGTGGTGTGATCACTGAGGCAGCTATACTGAACCCAAAGTGTCTATTTCAGTTCTCCCCAAAGTAGAGTCCTCCAGATGTTTTGAACTTTAACTCTTCTCACCCCTCTGCCAGCATAACCAGAGGTCAGGGATTCTGGAAACTGGGAACTAGAACAGGACGCAGTGTCCCCCAATATGGAGAGAGGCAATATGGTGATATTCTCTTTTGACCTCTTTCTTAGCGATGCATGTATGGTTCAGAGGGAGAGAACAGAAGCTCAGACTGTACCATCTCTCCATGCATCAGCATCTCAAAAGCTACTGTCTCTAATAAAGCTACTTAGCTGTTTAAATGTAGGTTAAACTTAGATTAAACTTAGATTTACTTATTTGTCAAATTATCAAGACCTTGAGAAGTGCATTAGGTAGCCCGTTGGATGATGAACAGGGAAAAAAAGTGCAGAAGAGAATTGGCCATGATTTAGCAAATTAGTTGATATTATGGAACTGAGGAATAAGCAAATATGAATCAGATTCCTTTCCACTGCCCAGGGAGAAGCAGGGGTGTCATTAGGGCTGGGCCTCAGAACCAAAGCACGAGGGCATCAACCCAACCCAGCCTAGCCCAGCCCAGTCAGGCCCCTCTCCAAATAGGCAGATAATGAGGGCAGTGGCAAACCAGGACGTTCTCAGCACTGGCCTGGCAAAGGCAGGACAGAGGCAACTGGAGCTGATGCTGCTTTGCTCTCTGGTTAACACTGCTGATCGTCATGGAGCAGTCATCCGCTCACCATATTTTTAAGGAAGCTCATTTTATTGTTTTTATATAACAACATGTTATCCTTTCTCACAACAAAATGCTGCTTCTTCCCAAGAAAATGCATACATCCTCAGGGCACAGAAGCAAGCCCTGTTTTTGCCCTAGAGTCCCGGTGGTGGCAGGATTTAAATGAGTTAAAATGTGAAACTGCTCAGAGGAGGCCTGTTTAAAAGCAAGGTTGACAAACAGGTTTTTGTTTTGTCCTTTGTTCTAACAAGTCAGGACTGTAGACGTGGTTGGAAAGCATGGCATTGTGTGGATGTGAAAAGGAGCAGGTAAGGGGAAGGAACCGAATGCATCACATTCTCTGAAGCAATGCACAGCCCTCTCTCAAGGACTCTGGCTATACGTTACTCCACAGTGGAGAGAAAAAAGAGATTAATTCCTGAAATAAGTTGGAGTGGAGGATATAAAAAGAGGCAAAGTTGAAGCTTTGGAAGTTGGAAGGGTTGTTTTTCTTAGAGAATACACTTCATAGTAAGGATTATGCTTTTAATTTTGCAGTTTCAGAACTACCAGATTCAGGCCTCTCTCTCTCCCCGTGTGTGTGTGTGTGTGTGCGCACGTGCACATGGGGGGTGGGGGCATTTCAAGTGTAGACACTGTCATCATTCCTAGATAGAGAAAATGTTTCATAGGATTTGGTTTGAAATTGAGAATATCTTAGTGGTTCTTGATTAATTATTACTAGGAACTTGAACAATAATGGGTCATCCATATGGCTTAGCTATTACCTTTATGTCTACTGAATAATGTGTGTAGCAGCTGGGTTTTGGACAGTTTGTTCTGAGCTAACATCTGCAGAACAAATTGCCCAAGGTTTTCCCCAGTCTCACTTTTCATTCTCTCTTCATATCACACAATATTCATGTTAACCTTTTGTATAGCACTGATTTTTTATTTATGTATTTCATTTGGAGTGTTTTATGCTACTTTTTATTAGCAGGGCTCCAAGAGCAACTTGCATATAATCAATTAAACTAGACAGTCCCAGCCTGGAGGTTTACAATCTCAAGACATTTTGAACAAAAAGAAGGTGAGGGGTGGGCATGGGGGGGGGGATACTCTTTTAGCTGGTGGAGTGGCCTTGCTTTCCCTTTAATCTTCCTCAGCTCACTCTGCTAGAATGGGGATCTCATTCTCTTACTCTTAGGCAGTTACAAATGCTACATGCTCAGAGTTTGCAATGAGTATTTACAAACTGGTTGTGAGATGAAAAGTTTATTTTATTCTATAAAAGTTCAGGGTTCATGCACGTGGACTCCCTTTGTCCATTAACTCAAGTGGCTACCGGTCTATTCCTGATATGAGATACTCACCTAGAGATAAGAAAAACTCTACTTATAGTCTGTTACTGGTGAACCATAGTGACAAAGGGCAACTGCTTGATTTATTGCAGTCTCAATATAATGCACAGCCGAATCACCTCAATCCAGGGCCTCCGCTGGAGTGGGGAGGGACCCATTTAAGTGCTTCCACATATGTTTTACGGACATAGAGAGCACTTTGGAAGTAAAAGGAAACATTTGTGAATCTAGAACCTCCACTGGAATGAAAGGGTCAGCACATTCAGGAGTTCTAGGATTGCATCACGGTTTACAGTAAATTCCAGAAGATGACAGAATCTATAGAATATGGTCTTCAGAATACTCATCAACAGGAGCTTCCCTCACTGTCTGTTAGCATCAACTAGTGCAAGAAAAGATCACGTTTCCTTCTTGCATTCTCTTTCCCATCTTCCTCAAGCTTGATAATTTGAAGGAACTGCCACTCTTCTATGGGTACAGAGTGTGCTAAAATTAAGTTTATTATAGTCACCTGCATTATGATGCATTTTCTCTCTGGGTATCATCATGAAGCCTTTTGATACCAAAGGAAATCCAGTGACTTACCTTTTTAGCTAAGTTTGCCCTCTTGGCACAGAAAAGTGTGAAAGAAAGGACACTTTGTTGTTCAAATCATGCAATTTAAGTCTTCAAGGATCATTGCCTTCTTGTGAGAGGAATGCAAACTAGCCAAAGAAGTCTAATTCAAAGAGCAACTAGATCATTGACAGAACAGCTTCATTCTCCCATGTCTCTTGGAAAATACACAAGACAGTCAAGTGACAGAGTCAAGATGTTCAGATATACAGAGCTTTGGTCTCAACAATGTCCACTGGGATGGAGGATTCAAGTGGATTCCCTGGTCATTTTACTGGGAAAAATGTTGGAGAGCTGTCTGAATACTTCAGAAGAGTGGGGAAGAAGCCAGGTCATGATGACTCTTCCAACACTTTGAGAAATATTTACTAGGTGAAAAATGAAAGATGATATGTACCAATCAGGATTTTTAATGCTTTCTTTCCCTTGCAGAAGTGTGAGGGTGTCTAAATATTGCCCCTGAACTTGGCGGCACAAGTTCTGGGAGTGGCAGGAACGCATTTGCTCTGTGGAAGGAATGTGCCAACTGCACCCCTCTCTGATCTGGCCATAGTCACCCATACATTAGTTGCTTCATGTTTGGGCTACTGCAATGATGCCTTTGCAAACCGTTTGGACTTGTCAGCTGGTCCAGAATGGCCCAGCTAGACTAGTTACAGAACTGGGAATGGCTACAGGAAGGCGATGATTCCTTTATTCCAAAACATCACTTACTACTGGCTAGTTTCCAGAAACAGTATGAACTGCCAATTATGACTTATAAAGCCCTGTTTGGTCTAAAGGACCACCTTATCTAACATGGGCCTGCCGGGGTTTTAGAATCTTTGAGACATATCTGTTGGTTCCACTGCCAACAGATAATGGTGTGGAAGAGGGCCTTCTTAGTGGCTGCTCCCATGCTGTGGAACTCCCTGCCAAGGTGGGCTGTGAGTGGG